GCTGACGTCGCCTCGTCTAACAAGCAGTATCTTGGGGTTGCGAAAGGAGTGCTCGCGCAATGGCACTCGCTGTTTTTGGCCTCCGCTTAACATGCTGCCCTGCGCACCGACGACGGTCGCAAACCCATCCCTACATATTCGAAACCTTTCAGTTAGACAAAACGGGCAGAGGATGGGGAAGCTAGGGAAATACATATGACTACTTACGGGAGCGATGCGATGAACTCGTATATGTTTGCATCCTTACAGGCCTGGGCAATTGCTTCCTCTGTCACGTTTCTGGGGCGCCCAACACCAGGTTTTCACGGATAGTGCCAGAGTACACCACTGGTTCCTGTCCGACCATTGCAATACGGCTTCTGTACTGGGAGATGTTTAACTCTGTGATATCGGACCCGTCAACGTGGATGCGTCCAATTTCGGGGTCGAAAAACCGCTCCAGGAGGGCCAGAACGGTTGATTTGCCGCATCCACTTGGCCCCACGAAGGCAACGAACTGTCCTGGTTTGATGGAGAGGGAGAAATTGGCTAGGACCACCCTCTCTGGACGCTGCGGGTAGCGATAACTCACGTCTCGAATTTCAATAGCACCACGACACGCCTCTGCTGGTAACAACCGGCCCTCAGAGCTGTAGCTGTCAATTGGGGGCACGCGTTCAAATAAGTTACGAAGGTGCCGTCCGGCCTGCATCGCCTTGCTCATATCTGGGGCAAAATTGAATACGGCACCGGCTGTCTGGGCGCCAGTGACCAGTGCAGAAAAGCAAATAAAGCACTGCGTTAACGTATATTCACCAGTCGCCAGAAGTGTACTGCTATACCAGAAAACCAAAGCCCCTGTTGGCATAAGTAGGGACTGAGAGAGGGCAAAGAGTACCGAAGCCTGCAAGATGGAGCGGAGTGATGCCGCCGCATCACGCTCTAGGATAGCACGGTAGCGCTGTAGCACCTCATTCTCAAGGCCCAAGCTTGCCACAGTACGAATAGCTCTCACAGCTTCGTTGGCGTAAGCCGCAGACTCAGCCTGTGTCTGTCGTACTTTACGGTCAAAGAGACTCAGAATTATCAATCGGATATAGCCGCTGCCCACCGTAATAGGGATTAATGCAGCACACACGAGACCCAGCTTCCAGCCTATTGCAACAGAGAGTGCAAGTCCACCGATGATGGTAACCGTGAAAGTGATCATGGAACCCAGCACGGCGCCGTCCAGCCCACCCAGGTGAGTGGTATCCTGTGACAGCATTGTTGTTAGATCGCCTGTTGGCCGCTCATCGAAGAAGGAGACCTCCTGACGCAGAATGGACCGGAAAGTTGTGTCCTTGGCTCTGCGGATGAGGCGCTCCGACGAGAAGGCAAAGCAGGCACCTTGGCCAAACCATGAGATGATAGCAACAATACCAAGCATTAGGTACATCAAGGCCCAGAAGCTTGTTTCGGAGCGAAGCTTATTATATTGAGATGCCGGGACAGATACGGCCTCAATAAGCTTTGCAAAGAAGATTGCCTGTCTAGAGTTATATTTTTTGCGTTAGCAGTTGATTGAAACATGCATGATAAAAAGGGGGGTTGGTTGTGGGACACGCACACTGGTGTTCCTAGCCCCGCGAATACACAGCCGATAAGCCCGAAAAGAATTAGCATACGTTCGGGGCGGTTTAGCTTATCCATCAAACGAAGAAGATCCCAGAAGGATAGCCGTTTATCGAGCTTTTTCGAATCGAGCTTTTTCTCCACAACAATCTCCGGCTGTTCTTTGGCAGTCGCCTTCTCGTCCATGAACCACGAAGAAGCACTTGCATTCTCAATTAGCGCATCGCCGTCTTCTTCCTCCGTTTTTTCCTCTGTCAGTTGCTGTCCGTTGACAAGGCTCGCATACAGTCCTTGTCTTGTCATCAGGCTATCGTGATCTCCCTGCTCTGCAATCTCACCCCCAGACAAGACGACAATATTATCCGCGGAACGTATGGTCGATAGTCGATGGGCAATAACTATAGTAGTTCTGCCTTTGGCGGCCTTTGTTAATGCCTTTTGCACCAATTTCTCAGCTCGACTGTCAAGGGCTGATGTAGCTTCGTCAAGGATGAGTATACTCGGATTACGAATCAAGGCCCGCGCGATAGCAATTCGTTGCCGCTGTCCTCCAGACAACTGCAGGCCTTTTTCACCAACCATGGTGTCGTAGCCTTTGGGCAGCGCCATAATGAAATCATGTGCATTTGCATCCTTCGCTGCCTTGATGACTGCATCTTTGATATCCTGGGATGAGCGAGCGGCATCGTCAAGATAAGCCAATCCATGACCAATATTCTCCTGTATGGTGGTATTGAACAGAATTGGCTCTTGGCCTACGTACGCCATTAAGCTGCGCAGCCACCGTAAGTTCAGGTTTTGAATATTGTGTCCATCGAGCGTGATATGGCCCCCTGTTGGTCTGTAAAAGCGCTCGACGAGGCCGACAATACTGCTTTTTCCGGATCCAGTTGGACCCACAATTGCCGTCGTTTTACTAGCCGGCATTGTTAGGCTTAGATGTTTGAGAACAGCAACGTCTTGTCTTGACGGATAGACCAGGCTAATATCATGAAAGGAGACCTCCCCTTTTATTCCTTCGGGTTTTTCGCCCTCGGTAGACAAGGGGTCTTCAGGGGATGCCCTTTGCATGGAACGAATGATCATACTAGCGCTTGCAGTGCTAGCCATGAAAGACTGGAGACTTGGTGCAACTCTTCCGATTGCGAACCCTCCAATAACAATAGCCATTGTAGCAGTCACGGCAGCTCCGGGGCCCATGTGCCCTGATATGATATACCTTCCACTTTGCCAGAAGCAGAGACCGTAGGAGAGGAACGGCAGGCCATTCATGAATGAAATCATAAAAGATATAGCCAACCTTGCCTTAACCCCGGGCTTCTCTCCCTGCTTCAGGAATCCTAGATACTTGTCCGCAAGAGCATTCTGGATACCGAATGCTGTCACATGTCTGATTGATCCGATACTCTCTTCAGCCAGATTGGAACCGCTATTATAAAGAGTCATACTTGATTTGGAATTTTTCACGGCCAGAATACCTCCTGCTGTTCCAGTGAGCAGCATCACAACCACGGTCGATGTCATGATGAGGCCGAGTTTCCAGTACTGAATATATGTGATAGTATAAGCTGAGCAGAAAGTTGCTACTGCCGTGAGGCCCATAGATACTTTGCTGGTGATGCCTTCTTGGATGAGATTCATATCCGAGGTGATGCGTGTTGTGACGTCGCCGGCGCCAAGTGTGTCGAAGAATGCTATGTTTTGTCGGAGGATTGTCCGGAGATATGCATAGCGTAGACGCATCACAATGCGCTCGCCGACGTAATAGAATCCAACGGTGGTGATGTAGATGAAGAAAAACATAGCGATCCCAAGATATACCCAATAGAGACAGACTTTAGCCACTTGTGCGGACAATTCGGAGATGGATGTTACGCCATTGGACCTATCTGCAAACGAACCGACAGCCAACCCATAGACAACCTAGTATCGTCAGAAGCTGTTGCTTTTAACACGCATACTAAACAATTGTGATGGCTTACTGTGAGCAATGGGTTCGAGGCACCACCAAAGATGGCGGCGGCTATACTTATAACGATGATTGCCTTGTCCCATGTCGTGGTATAAGACCAGAGACTTTGAGCGTCAAGTCCCGCCGCGAGCCCATTCAGTTGAAGGTCAACGACTTCCTTCTCGATCTTGCTCAAAATCACGGGCGATTTCTTCTCCTGGCCCTGCTCACGATGTGCTGCATCCTCCTCGTAAACGGTACCATTTCCATCCATATTTCCTTAACTGAGATGAACCGATTGAGTAAAAAAACCATGAACCACCAGTACTGAATACTGGATGATAAAGGTTGAACATAACTGTTTCTAGGAAATGCATCACACTACACTATATATAAATCTATGGGGACAACGCCAGTAGGGGTGCTACTGTTGGCTTCGCCTGACTGCCCAAGTCATTTATCAAAGGTAAGACCTGCAGGTGAGCCCGATTGATTGCAAATGAAAATATGAGATGAGACAGTACTCGGGGTCGAGTGGTGGCCTACAGGAAAGCAAAACACCCTCTCCATGCTCCACTTTTCGTGCAGGGATTACATGGGACGCGGAGATATATTTGACAATGGATGTATATCTATGCAGTTCCCCTTGCTCAAATTTCAAACCTGTCGCGCTAACTGCTGGTTACATGCATGCCATCTCGACTCAGCCATCGACCACGGCCAGGGCTGGAAAATCTGCCGGGGGGTGGGAGATGCTTCGCCGCTTTGCATGGTTACAAGGATATGCGAACTACTTTAGATAAGAAGATTACCCCCTTTCCCGTCAGATGCGGAGATACCTTCATTGAGAGTTTAACTTTCTCGGACGCGGCTCAATGGTGGTTGTGTTTGTTTTGACTACTCCAGACATGCATGGTTAAACCATCGTTTTGCTAGTGCAACTTCTCGCTCTAATGATAAGCGTATACTAAGATACAGCTTGCTACCTCTTCAAAACTCGGTCAGTTGATAAACCTCAGAAGAAGATGTGAATAATATGTATCAGGGTTGGTCGATCGCCTTCATGTTCTGTGCCTGGGCTTACCGGGGAATTACTATCTCAATTGATAATAGGTACAAGCAGATCTTCTCCTCTGGCTACCTAACCAAGACAATACTTTATGTGAGGATAGATATATTTTGCGTGTTCACGGAGTTTATAGTGCAACTCAACTGGGGAAAGCATAATTGAGATAAGTACAGGCCCCATTATCGTCCATCAAGATGCCTGCTTTTTCCTAAACCACTCTCTACCTAGCTCTCATAATCAAACTCAACTTCCTTTAAATCCTCAAGGGGCCCTTCCAAATTGTCTAGGCCCAGGTACACTGACAAATCTTGGTAGTCCTTTGCCCACAAGCCTGGCGATCCCCTGGTCCACTGAGAGCGAAAGCCGAGGAAGCGTTGTGCTCGCTTGGATAGCAACTTTGCTATTTTTACGGAAACGATATAGGAGTTGGCGTCCGCTGAAGTGAAGTACCCAGCACAAATAGATATCTGAACTGCGTGTCGGTCGGTGGTTGTCAAGTTGGCCCCTGTACCATGGACAGCCTTGCCGCTCATGAGGATGCAATCACCAGCGTCCATAACTGCGGGTATAGTCATGCTGGGTAGGCCACGCTGGTGAAATGGCCGCTTATGGCTGCCAGGTATGACACGCGTGGCACCGTTAGCCTCAGTAAATGGGCTAAACGCGACGATGAAGGTGATATGAACGTCATCAAAATCTGGGTCTAGTAATACCGCAGGTGTGTGATGGCTCACATCACGATGAAGTGGTTGAGCACCCTGAGGCCCGCCAACCATTAACGTTGAGCCTGATGAAAGCCAGGAATCCCCACCCCTTTCACCTTATACCCAGCTTTCTATTACTTGATTACGAAGGACGTGTAATGCGTATGGATTCATTCTCTAAGGTGATGGTAGCCGGATCACGACTAGGATGGGTAACGGCATCAGATCAAATCATAGAGAGGATTGTTCGGGCGTATGAAGTATCTGTGCAGAATCCAAGCGGCTTTGCACAGATAGTGATTTATAAGATTCTCTCCGAGAAATGGTCTTATGAAGGTTTCTGCACTTGGCTAAAGTATCATCAGCAGCTGAGACAGCTGGACCAAAAGAATAACCATTAAGTAATAGGTTGGAGTGGAATTCAGTGTCTTGTAGATGATGTGTATGCAATTGCAATGAATCTGGGGCGCCTGATCTTCCTGCAGGGTCGTGCCCAGTATTCCGAATGACCAGGCGCAGATTGTGGCACTTTGCAAAAAAAACCGCCTCTTGGACATGTCGAGCCGACTTGACCACAACTGAGTATAAAGGGATACGGCCCTGGTGGCAAGATTTCTGCTTCGGCCCTACGAAACAAGTCTCGTTTGGTGTATTGCCAGCCTCCCAAACCCAGTCCTGCAAAGCTCCTATTGTTGAACATTAACTTTTTGTCACCAGATTTAAGGCGTAAACCGAAAAAGGAACTGAATTGAATGAGGGTAATATGATGTGGTTACCTGGTTGTGACACCCTCTATCCGCTATCCCTCAAGTGGTGCAACAAATTATCGCAAGCATTTTGGTTGAATCTAGGGTCGTTTTCATAGCAGACATGCGCCACGGGTCTAAGATGGAATAGATTGCCGTCGATGGATGAGTTGAGTGTCTGCCACAGGTCCGTGGATGGCTAATATGGCTCCTAGGGTCCGCATCGGTAAGAAGTCGACAGGATCGAGTAGGTAAACTAGCTAAGAAGGACACCCAACCCGGTAGACGCGAGGAGAGATGGCATACTGTTTTACCGTATATATATAGTTCAATAAACTTTGATAGCCACGACCGTCGATCGATGGGAAAACCAAACTGTGAATGGAGCGAAGACGACAAAGAGGGCAAAGGGAGAACTTTATTCCTACGTTTATTCGAACTTCAAGGAAGCGTAGACTACACGTAATATATGACTAAGCAGAATCACATGACTAGTTATATCTAGAGCTTATCTTAGTCATTGCATCATGTGCTCGATACTATCCACGTGACTTGGTGCGAAAAGAAAAAAGAGACGAAGACGAAGAAGAGCAAAAGGGCGAGAGTTCATAGGATGTACACTACCGTCCCCAGAAGCCCGTCAGGCATCCCTAAGAGCACGTTCGGAGTTGAGGCTACCTATTCTTAACCCAATAGCTCGGCCAGCCGCCCTGTCATGCCACGCAGCATGCGCCCACCAAGCACACATCACGTGGCACTCAAAGCATATAAGCAGTGCAGCGACCAGAGATGACGAACGTCATCACTGTGTATGATCTTTTGGTCGAGTGGTATATGCTGTATCATCGCTGCCGGCATACTGCCATTACAACTAATCGCTAGCTTCCTTGTATTAGAATCCGCGATATGCTTCTTATATATAATTATATAGTATTAGGGCAGGGATTTATCACGTGGTATTACCTAATAGATCACATGACCTGACATGGCTACATAGTAAGTGTCTATGATGTACGGCGATGGAACTACACGTTGCCAAGCCCGGTTTCCAATAAATGTTTTAGATCCACCCACGCTGCTCTCCAGATATCAAATACCATTCAGAATCCACAGACCCTGCAGATATTCTAGGACTCATACTGTTACTATCTATTACTGATGATTTATTGGGCTCCCTCAATATTTTAAAACCAAGGCTTTCATCTTCAAACCTCTGGTTTGAAAGCTCAAGCTAAATACGAGCATCCCAAAGGATCGCTATATCTATTCTACCATATCCCCAAATATTTAAACCATCCAAGGCAAAAGGAAAGCCTGGCTCCAGTTCATCTACACTGTGGAAAATACCACCGCGGAGTAACGCAAACCTGGAAGCCTCTGACAGTTTTATTCTATATCAACAGCCCCCTTCATCACTGTGATTTTTGAATACCGGAATCGAAGAACGGCCCCATATAGTAGCCCAAGTACAAAGGGGCTAAATCTGTCACTTCCAACTATACGGTCAAAAGTTGGACCTTGTTATATTCCTATATCTACAGGAATACATCATGTCTGTAACTGGGTAAGTAAACATTCATTGCCTGTGATATGCAAAAACAGAAGCTCACCGTTTTCTTAGGGTATACTATATCCCAAGTAACCCAGAGTTACCAACTACAGCAACAAGGACAGTCATTGATCGCTTCAAGGCTATCAATCAACCCGTCAGAGCCGGACGCTGGGCACTAGAGTTTAAACTCATGAGAGACACGGCGTCATGTTTGCCAGCGGCAAATTTCCCTAATAATAAAGTGCCTACCCCACGGTATATGCATTTTCTCTCTCTCAGTCATTATCAAACCCATGGCTTTATACGAATCTCACCTCGACCCGAGATCGACCCGCTAGACCCATCCGTGATGGAGAAGCAAGAGAGCTCGCCACCCTCCATTCAAATACCGGCACAAGGCACTTCCTCATCTCCTACATCCTCCCAGTCACAAAATTCGACAGGTGACAAGAACCCAACTTCGTCGATCCAAGATGAGGCCCATACTATGAAGATGATAACACTCGAGCCACAATCATATTTGTCCTTTTTCTCTATGACGACAAAGTTCTGCCAGCCGCTCTGGAATCATCGCTTTACTGTTGTCGTTACCTCGGGAGAAGCCTACGAAGTAGCTGATTTCCGGGTCCGGATAGGTGAAGTTCGTCAGACAACGCCTAGGCCTCGCCTTCGCGGAGCAATCGTGGAGATTGAATACCGCGGACCAGGCGAAAGACAATCTACACTACCAGATCTTGTGCATCATCCTGAAGATAATTGGGATTTAATGCCTCACCAGGCAAACTGGGAGGTTGACCTACCTACGGAAGAAGATTGGAATCTAGGTGTGACGCTTATCCGAGAACTGTGGGACAGCTTTTCTATCCCAGGAGCTACAGAATCTATCCAAGTTCCTGGAGTAGGGTTGGAGAGGCGGAGTTATTTCGAGAAAGGGGGTGCGTCGGCACACTCTGCACGGCAAAAGACTAGTATCGTGGGAGTCGATCTAGCGAGGCAGTATATGGATATTTTCAAATTTTTTCGGTAGATTTTTACATCATGGCGTACCGGATATATTTTTTTACCTGGTTTGAGTGTGAGCGGGTATATTATAGAGCATTATTTGTAATCTTGATCTTGATGTTAAGAATACCATTTAATACTATGTAATGACCTGGATGCCATCAACGCTTCTTGCATTGCCCTTGTAAAGATGTCTTTACTAACATGGAGCCAGCCCACGTTTACTTGAAGAGATTAGTGATTGGGTAGGATAGGCCAGCCTGGTATATATAAAATACTTTAAAGAAGCCTTTAATATAATCTTTATCCCTATTCAATGACTATACATTTGTACATCATAGGAGTTGGGAAATCCTATTTAAGCCTTTTTACCAATCAATTCCCGCCGAGAAAAAAGTAATACAAGCAAGGAGGAACACTGTAAGGAGAGAGCCAAGAGAGAAGTAGTTAATTTATCGGTTACTATAACCAAGGGCCATAGAAACAATGTTGTTGCCAGCATCCACCGCTGGGGGAAGTCGAGAAGGCAAAACCACAAACTGCATAAATAAAGGCAAGAATGTAAAAATATGACCCTGTCAATATCTTTATGGAATAGTGATTAGATTGCTATGTGAATATTGAACCTATTTTTGCATCATAAGTTGAACGAATTCATTATCTGCATGTATTCGTCAGTAAAACGTTCTTAATAGCAACAGGTAGTAGTTATGAGTAGGCTTACAATCGATTCTACCATCACCATCCTGGTCGGCTTCGCGGATCATTTCATCGACCTCATCGTCGGTCAATCTCTCTCCAATCGAGGTCATGACATGACGCAGTTCCGCAGCAGAGATGAAGCCGTTGTTATCACGATCAAACACCTTGAAAGCTTCTCTGATTTCTTCCTCGGAATCGGTATCCTTCATTTTTCGGGCCATCATAGTCAGGAATTCTGTACCGCCACGTAAACCAATTAGCATATCCCATCTCCTTAACAACCCTGTATGTTGATAGGTTTTTTTTGGGGGGTAAACCCAGGATCAATCGTACCTGGGAAGTCGATAGTCCCATTGTTATCAGCGTCAACCTCGTTAATCATGTCTTGTAGCTCGGATTCGGAAGGGTTCTGGCCCAACGATCGCATCACTGTTCCCAATTCCTTGGTTGTAATTTGACCTTAAGATGGTATGTGAGCCAAAGCTCTTCTGACATGTACTAGACCACAGTCTGGTCTAAAAGCCATCACTCACCATCGCCATCTTTATCCTGTTCGTTGGTGGAAATACCTGGTGAGCTATTCTGTATACACACTTCGAAGGCGGGGCACCCTTGAACGATGCAACTCCAGAAGCAAAATAAGGGGCAGAAAAGACTTACGAATAAGGAAAAGGCTTCCTTGTACTCGGACACCTGCTCTTCAGTCAAAGAATCGGCCTGAATAAGTTGTAACGAAGTGTTAGCGGAGGAAGACCCTGGGCGGGTGGCTAGGAATAATAGGGGAGAGAGTGGGAGTGCTGAGGAGGGGTCATAGAATGCGCAGGCCCACGAACCATATTTTCCGAGCAAAAATCACAGATAGGTAGGTCTGGGAGAGACGAAGAGGCGAGTGTGTGTATCTTTGTATCTGATACTGGGACGGCAGAGGCGCAAAAAAAGCTGGTTGAGAGTTGTTGTCGTAATAAATAATAAATAGCGGGTTAGAAGAAGTTGGAGGTCACCCCTCGGGTCACGTTTGCCAAGACTTCTTCACTCTACAACACCTACTATTTATAAATATACAGTATAAATATAAAGAAGTTGGACTACGAGGACTTTGTAGTGATAAATGAGAGAATTCTGGACGGTTATAAGCCCGGGCAAGGCTGAGAATGCGCCTTGGGAGCCTTGGGCGAGGTCCAAGAGAATTACATTGTACAACTAGCTTAATTAGTTAATAAATCTCGAACTCCGCGGGAGAGCTCTTCACAGCTTCAACTATCACCATGCTACATACTCTGTGGCCAAAGAAGGGCCCTTGTATAGGAGAACCTACGCAGCGGCCTGCCACATCATCCTTTTCAACTTCTCTCCCATAACTTGCTGTCCTTGTCCTTTTCTTCTCTTCAACTTCCACCCCTTTTAAGATTTGACTATCACGTGACAGATTTCAAGCCTTATGTCATGGATTTGCTTATTCGAATACAAAGACCAGACAAGACAAGAAGAAAAGAGAAGACAGCAAAAGATAGCATAGCTTTCAGCTTGCAGTCATTAGCTTCGTGGCTGTGGATACATCTAACTTCCCTTGGGCTATGATCACTGGAAGCCCTCCTTACCCAGGATCATGCGCAGGCGTACCCCGGATCGCTGATCTATAGTTTTGCTGCCTTGCCAGATCCTCCGCTTCATTGTTAATTTTTTTTTTTATAGCTGTCCTCTAATCATGTGGCGGGATCGAACAAACCTGTAAGCTGCATTGGCCGTTGTTGTGGAAGAATTGCACATTGAAATAGCTAACGTTGTCCCTTTTTTCTATTTGATTAGCTACATCTCCTACCGGCAGTCCTTTGCGCACCACCCTTCCAAGAAACCTCGTCATATTGGAGGAGCCTGGAGTGACCATGCAGACAGTGCGGGAATCTCAGAGGAACGCCGTGGACTCATGTCCGGCGGCGGGTTTGACGATGATGGGGACGCTGTTATAGAAATGGACCTTCTGCCACCTCGATGGATGGACGTACAGGATGAAGTAACCGAGTACCTGCGAGATATTGCCCGGAAGTCTGCACAGTTGGATAAACTACACCAAAAACATGTATTGCCCGGGTTTGGGGACGAGGACGTCCGAAGAGAGGAGGAGGATATGATTGAACGATTGACTCAAGACATTACGAGAGGGTTCCACGATTGCCAGAGATCTATACAGAGAATCGAGATAATGGCACGAGAGGCACGAGAACAAGGCTCTACCAATAAGGGCGAGGATACCATGGCTAGGAATCTGCAGATATCCCTTGCGGCACGGGTACAGGAAGCTAGTGCTGGGTTTAGAAAGAAACAAAGCACATATTTAAAAAGTGAGTTTCGAAAAAGCACCGGTTCATTATCAGTTTTAGGGCTAAAAATGTTATTCTTGTCAAAACAGAACTACGAGGCATAGATGGAATGGTCTCACCGCTCGAAAGATCTGCCTCACCAATACAAAACCCATATACAGACCCATCTCTAATAGAATCCGATGCCGACAAGTCATACTCCCAATCTACCCTTCTACAAACAGCACAACAACATCAGCAACATTTAGGCTGTAACGACTCAGCAATTGCACAGCGAGAACGAGAAATCAACGATATTGCAAAGGGCATCATTGAGCTCTCGGATATTTTCCGTGAATTGCAGACCATGATTATCGACCAGGGAACTATGCTAGACCGCATAGACTTCAACGTCGAACGAATGACCGTTGATGTTAAAGGTGCTGATAAGGAATTGAAAGTTGTATGTTTACCCTTTTTAGTCGCCAGCTTATCTATACCAAGCGCTAAACTCCGTCTAGGCCACGAATTACCAGAGACGAACAACGAAACGAAAAATAATACTCCTTTTAGCTCTCCTAGTTGTCGGGATGTTCATTATACTCCTTGTCAAACCAAAGAAACATGCTGATGCTGCTAAACCTTCTTCACAACCACCTCCCCAAGCACCACAAAACCCGCCACTCGAGAGATCTCTTCCACAAGACCACAAGCCGTATAAGCCAGGACAGAGGAGGAATACCGCTCGCCATTGGCTTCTGGCTAATATATGGGATGAGCCAGGCATCCCATTAGCGTCGTGATATTAAAATTCTTTTCTCTGGCTAATGATAATTCTTTCACCTTCTGACTCCCAGTCACGATTTCAGGACTTCACTTTTTTAGCCTGCCTATCTTCCCCTTTCCTTGTTTCGTTTAGACTACGGGGGAGAATTATTCTTGGTGTCTGGCTCGTTTTCTAGCGTTTTGTACGATGTTCTACTGTATATATATAATAGTCATGATATTGATATCTAGAATACCCACTGGATTTTGGAGATAATGCTGATTACTCTTCCACCGAGTTTTTATGTTAACACGGGCCTTGATATGGACGTCTGAAGCTTCCCTCAATAGTTGAAAACTGGTTATTTGAATGCCGACTGGAACAAGAAATAGAAGAAACCATCGAGACCTACTTATACATATAACATAGACGGGAACAAAAAAAAACAGAAACCAAATTCAACCAACCCAGTAAACTACACACAAAAACCCTCACAGCCCAGTATGCGCAGAGCCATTATATCCATCCATGCATTACGGTACATAAAGACATCCCTTAGGTCTAAGGATATCCCCCATTAATGCTTGGTGCTCTCCTGCCTTAGTAGCTCAGCTACATCTGCGTCCAAATCAGCCATTGCATCGCCCCCTTCAAATTCAGGGTACGTATCTCGAGTGTGAACGACTTTTCGCTTTTTACTGGCTAGCTCGCCGGCCGAAGCATCATTGGAGGGCGGGCTGGCGGCAGCTTGGAGTGTTGAGAGGGTGGTGTTCAAGTCGATGGATGGCGCTTGGGATGGGTCTTCGAGCTCGCCCATAGCTCCACTTGAGGTTAGCTTTGTATGATTGGGTATCATAGATGGCTGTTGCGCATTTTGGTTGGAGCTGGGATTGAGCTTCGGTGATTGAACCGGGGTCAGGGCCTCGGCTGGGGGCGGTGTTAGAGCCTCGACTGCTGGAGCCTCCAGCCCTTCACTCCCAAAGGAATTTTCATGCCCCGCCCAAGCTGGACCTCCGTTACCTTGTGGTGCTGATGAATCGTCTGCAGACAGTCCGCGCATTATAGCATCTTCAACATCTCGTTTCTTATTCTCGGTCTCTGTCCTACGGGAAGCCAACTGTTCAATCTGTGTTTTCTCCTTTGCTAGCGCTGTCCGGTTGGTGTCGAGAACCTTTTCGAGTCCCTCAATAAGTGATTGACGGCACTTTATAACTTCAGACACGGAGCTCTCAGCGTTGGCAAGTGTCTTAAGTAACGTGCTTAGTCGAGCTGCATAGACGGGAGGAGTAGGGATCTCGGCAAAGGGGCCATTTAGCTTGTCATATTCCACATTTGCGGTCGTCACGGTAGCATTAGATGAAACAGAAGCCTTTGAGGTTGCAACCTGTAACGGAGCAAGGGGTTGGAGCTCCTGGGGGAGGGAGCCCGGAGAGCTCGAGAAAAGAGAGCCTCCAAGAAGAGGCTTTTTGCCTGTAGATTTAGACTTGTCGAGCTCTAAAACCGCAAATATTAGGTCACTTATTATAATAAAGAGAGGCATGGCGCATGAAGAGCCGGACACAAACCTTCGACTCGGGCCTCAACAGCGTCCTGAATAGGCTTCTCAAATATCGAGCGTTGTCTCCAGACTTCCACCACACGTCTCAGTTTCTGTTGGATCTCGTTTGACGCACCCTTAAAGGCTGTTGCAGTCGCGTCTGCGATAATCTGTAGCACCCATTAGCCCATACTCTGGCAGGTGGTCAAGCAATAAACCAACCGGAGAGAATGCGATTAGAAAGTCCTCCTTCCGCCTTCCTTTTGATTGCTGGGCAACCTCTTGTCAACACAGCTGGTTAGTTTCTGAATTCGAGCTCTAGGAAGCCAGCTACAATACCATTAGCTAGATAGATAAGATTGAGTCTCTTTGACGGATTGGCATCGCGCAATTTCTCTAGCCAGAGCTGAGCGGTGCGGTCTGCATGGCGTCTAATTTCCGTATTTCATTAGCCTTCCGACATTCTAACCAGTATATACATATATATATATCGCGAGGCAGGCTTTTTACCTATGGAACATAACCCATTGAGCCACCGTGACGATGGATTCCTGAGTCTCGTTTAGAGCTGACAGCTTCGCCTTCACGGCATCATCAGTATAGGCCATTGCGGCGTGCTTTCGGTGAACCGAGAGGTAGAATATTGAAATAACAGAGTCTTCCCCGATCAATGAGACGAGGAAACGTCTACTCCTTTTGCCGCAAGCTGACCCAGTGTCTGAAGCCTTTTGGTTGGTTTTTGTTTCGATGTTGAATTTGGTAGAAAAAAGATAAACCCGGCAGAACTGAGAGGCTTTGTCACCGCCTGCCCAAAACGGACGCCCATTGGCCCCTTTAAAAAAAAAATAAAGTGAAAGCTCGCTGGCTTGTTTTTCCATATATACAAAGCAAAAGAGAAGGAAGACAGATAATAAGAAGACAGACACCAGCAACAGATTCGAGAGGCGCTTGGAATGAGAGATACCTGCTGAAGCTGTCCCTCTTCTCTCCGTTTATTTGTTCTACTATTCCTTTTTCTTTTTCTTTACGATTTACACGTATTCTCATTACGTCTCAGGCTTGTTCTTATCTACTTCTTAATACATCAGCTTGCACACCTTCACCATGGCTGACCGATTCCCAGCCCTTGACGATATTACCGGAGGTAGGAGATTTGATTAACCTGATTGGAGAAGGCTTAGCTGACCGCATACGACAGACGATATAGTTCCATCGCTGGGCGGTGCAGGCAACAGAGCCGGCGAGGACGACAGCGATTTCCTTGCCCGTGAGCGTGCAGCATTGGGAGACGATGCTGATCAGTTTATTTCACCCAGCGATAATAGACCTTCTGCCACAGTTGAAGATGACGATGACTTGCTGGTAGGGGGAGGTGATGACATGATGACCCATGACGATAACTCCGGATTCGAATCGAGCTACCCGGCCATTGAATCGAAAAATGAGGTAGGCTACCTCTCTATATGGTACTCACTCAGGTGTCTTCAAACTAATGGCACTGCCTCTACAAATAGAATGTAGCTCCAGGAGGTACCATCACTGGAGTCGACATGCCATTCCAATCATCATATTCCAGCCATACCCAGGAGACGGAGGAGTCTGAGGCTGTCCGGTAAATTTCCCGCTTATTTTCCTGCGCATTCCTCCCTTCCACGAAGAAAAGAGGAATACATGATACTGACAGCCCTACATAGTGAATGGCGGGAAAAGCGAGATGCCGAACTGGCTCGTCGAGCTGAAGTGTCTGCTGAGAAAAAGGCGGCGACTGTCTCCAAAGCCCAACAAGATATAGATGATTATTACGAATCCTACAACAAACGAACCGACAAGGCCCGGGAGCGTACCCGTGCAGAAGCTGAAGAGTTCCTTGCAAATCGAGAAGATACTGCTGCTGGAGGCACGAGCTGGGAGCGTATTGCCAAACTTGTCGATGTCAGCGGGAAAGGAACCAAGGGCGGAGCCAGTGGTTCTGGCAAAGAAAGGTTCAGGGAACTGCTGCTGGAACTTAAGAAGGACGAGAAAGCCCCAGGAGCGTCTGGGGTCTAGATTAGTTATAGAAGGGCCATTCATTTATTTTCTGTACTGCCACATACCTATCCTACTTTTTACGAGCAAATGTGGACAATGAATTCTATCTGTTTCCACCCAGTCCACACACTCCTTGGTACACGTATTTCCACCTTTTTCCTTCTCTAATATCTAAACAATGCAGGTAAAATTAAATGATTGATATATGACTATGACTATGGTAGAGAGATACAGCCAAAAATATCAAATGAAGTACAATAAGCTCCTATGAAAATCGCCGAAGCAAACCAAAAACTGTCATATATATATATATGCAAACAAACAGAGCTGGTTCAGTATACATTTTCATGTCCCAATCAAAAGCTGTCCACAGCAAAGTTGGAGACACCCATTTCATGAATTCTAGCGCAGTGCAATGAAGTAGAAGATAACGAAATCACGAAAAGAGAAAAAGGAAAAATGTAGTAGACAGTAAGAAAAAACGAAAGTATGTAGAGAATGATACAGAAATTGTTGGTAGAAGGTGCAACGATTGCATCCGTTTTGGGTATATGTTGTAACTTGATCCCTTGGCCAACGAAGACCTCCAAGGGGTAAATAAAAGGGAAATTGAGCAAAGGCCGTCGGCATACTTAGCTCACAGAACCGCCATTTGGCAATGGGAGGAGTTTTTCTTGAGATTCTGGTCGCTCCTTGAACATCTTGTCTCTGATACAATCGACCACCCTACCACATTGGGGGTCGACATAGGTCGCCCACATATGGGCAACGATGTAGAGAACTGCATAAAAGACAGGCAATATAAAGACGAAGGCTATCGGTCTGGCTCGGCTAAGCTGAAGTAGTTCTCCCTTATCATTCCTTACTGGAATTCTTGCCGCGCTTTGACCGTACACCATCCAAGACAAGATAGTTCGAATAAGAATGTTATGTAGCAAGTAGACGGGGAAAGAGACACGCCCAAGGAAGTTAAAGAGTGGCAGGGTCAGAACACGTCTGGCGTTCCTCGAGAAGAATATTCCAAGCATCAGAATGCACGTTCCAAGAGACGAAGCATAGCGACTGTGATCCGCATTTTCAGGAGTAATCGAAACAATGAACGAGCGTAAAGACGCGGACCACCATGCCCAGTTTTGGTTGTTCTGGGGGAAGCCCCAGATTAACAGCCCGATTAATATAAGGATGCTAGGTACAACCTTAGGGAGCATTGACGTAGCACGAGAACCATAATCGACTTGGAGTTGTGCCAGAATCATGCCTGGAAAGATGTTGATACCAACGAGATCTATGGGGTACACTGGTTAGAACAAACATGGCGACTTTGCGCAGCATAAACCCATTGTGGTGAAAGGGGCAACTCACGGTCGTTAACAAGCCAAGCATAAGCCCATAAGAGCGCGGTCACTATATACCAGTAACGCCTTTTAACCAAGGTAAGAGCCAAAAGTGTAAGATATGTTCTGAACGAGCCGCTGAGGAAGAATTTGAGAGTCCAATGGGTTCCATCGTAGACTGATGCACCAGTATGCCAGAAAAATACCAAAGTTTTGAGTAAATTTCCAAATGCCTCAGCAAAACCTGTACTAGGAGCAGGAGTGGTAGCGCGTATCCAACTGGCATCAGCTCGCTGCGAAATGCTGAACGCACCCATATGACACAGTGCCCACGCAATAGTTGTAGCAATAGCCGTGGGAACCATCAAACGGCCGGACCGGGTAAACGTGCTTCTGGCGAGGTTCGTAAGTCCAACATAGGTATTGTCGGCACGGGCATTTTTGACTGGGTTAATCGAGTTGACGAAACCGGTGATAATAAAGAAAATTGCAACTGAGCCTCTGCCACCAACGCATAATCTAAGAATTGGCAATTGGAATATGCTAGACGGACCACCATCTGACAAGGCAGGGTCATGGAGATAAGGAACGAAGGCGGTGCATAAATGGCCAGTAACAACGATGAAAGAAGCGACACCTCGTAAGCCCTAGAATGATATAAGAGTCAACGAAGGTACCGAAAAAAAAAAGTGGTAGTAAGAATACACCTACATCGACCCAGTTATCATCTCTCTTCCTGGGGGCCATGATTATCCCAGGGAGTATCGAACCAAGTTCCCAATCGAAAAGAAGAAAAATATCCAAACTTATGTAGAAAATATATATATTAAGGTTGGTCTAATTGAATCTGATCCTATCCTCGCAGAGGAGGCAGATTCAAGTATCAATAATAAGTTATAATCCACCAGCTTTTGGGTAGGTTATATTAGTGAGGAGATCAAAAATAAGACCGGACGCCGAATGATAAAATGGCAATGATAAAAATATTAATAGGACTGCGTGTGTATAAATGCCAAAGGATGGGATGGCCAAAACATGGGGCCAACAAGAGAAAGTGAATTAGCGAAAGAGGCCAGGCGTAGGGCTGCAAAGCAAAGAAACTCGCTGAGATCGAGACGAAGGTCGGGTCGCGGGATGGTTTGCTGCGATTTTCAAGTCAGAAAGTTGTTTGGAAACAGCCCAATCACATGACAGTAGAAGCGCTGACAAGGTACCAGACCAGGCAAAGAGAGGATTCGGGTTAATATTGCTTTTTATGTATTTGCCTCCTTCTTTTTTATGGACCAAGGTGGTATGTAAATGAACCAACAATTCACTGCAGTTCGATGTATCCGGAGTACCCATAGGTACAAAGTACGTGGCTGTTCCTGTGCCTTGCCCATTATTGATCCATACCTTGGGCTGGCAGAGCGCGATCATCTTGGATTGTCGTCCTTGGTATGGGGCATGCCCTCTTTGCCGTTACATATATCGAATCCCTATCCTTGCCTCTTAATTCCCTGGCTTCAAATGGGAACCGTACATATAAACGTCCTTGCCTATCGGCCGCTCATCCTTCTTCTTTGGCCTGACTCCAGAGCTGGTAAGAGTGTATGCGGTACGGAGTACTTTCACATCTTGTACCTGTTACATTCTGATAAGTATTCGGTGCTACCAGAAGCGCTAGGTGGAAGCGCCAACTCGTTTGACTTTGCTATCCGGCTCCTCTCACTCCCCACAAGCCATGCATATATATATCCTCAAGGGTTCCAGCTTGGCGTTGGCTCCGCCGCTCTTGACATGGCCCCTGAAGGGCTGTTTCATCTCTCGTTCTGTGCTCGCTTCCATTTGACCGTAAAAACAAGAAAATCTGTATTCCTTCAAGCCAATAGAGGCCCTTCGTACTAAAAAGGGGCTTGAGCAAGACAGCAAGAAACGCGTCTATGAGAGAGCGAGGTGGGTTGTGTTTTATGTTTCCCTCCGTGATTCTTTGATAGGCCTTTCGTCATTTGTACCCCGTAGTATCCGCACTCCGTAAATCGTGGTTGTCCCGCTGTAACCATTTGTGCGATTTCATATCCTCCCAGGGGCTGTGCGACATTTAGTGCCGAAATTAATAGTACTGGAGATCTCGCCACTTCAGTGTTTTCTTTGGACATGTACTTTCGTTCCTCTGTCACCACCATTCGGCGAAAGACCGCCGAGTCTGTCTCAGAGGTTCTTCTTCTCTACCACCTCGTTCGTTGAAAGAGACATATAGAAGTATTTATGTGCCTTCGTGCTCCGTATATCCATGTGTAACTATGTAATAATATCACGACCTTGAGGTGCCGGATCTGGCCGTGAGTAACACGATGGTGAACCGACACGGTGATGGGGTCAAAGAGTTGTTGTGCCTCAGGCACTGCCCTCGTACCGAGCCTTTTTAAATGTGCAGCCTTCCATGATGCTTTTCCCTGCGGCTATGATGGTGATGGTCGTGGTCGTTCTTGTTCGAAGCACAAGAAAAATAAAAACATGGCGGAAGTTTTGGGATGCTCTTGCTTCCCGATTGGGCCGACACGTGATATCAAAGTGCAACCCTCGATGTTTTGTTCGCTGGGATTGAACAACGAGAACAAGGAGATGCGGATGTGGTGATTTTCTTATTTCTTCCTATACCATCTTAGGAGTCTAGCGGTTCCTCTTCTAAAGGGGAGAAGAAAAAAAAGGCATGGCTTCAAGTCGCAGCTCATTTCGGAGGAGCGTTCTGCTGGTAGTGGTTTTCTCTGTGATGCTGTTCACCTTTCGAAAGAGTGCCATCAACTATTCAGCTCGCCCGGGGCCTGCCCCTTCCATTGATGATCAGAAGCGGTTCTGGTATGCCTTTCATGCGATAATCAAGGCTTCTACACCGGGCTGCAAAGCACCCATCAAACTCGAAGAGAAGCCAGAGCCACTGGAATTCCATCCGGATGTTATTGGAAATATCACTTTACCAGAGAATCTTATGCTAGACGAAAGGGATAAGAGGAAGCTAAAACTTGCTCATTCTCGATTCCTAGGGCTGCTCACTCCCCCAGACGGGCCACTACTGCCCTTTCAAAGGAAATCTCGAGGCATTGTCTCAACGGCCAGCAAATCTATGCTCCCAACGCTCGTAACATCCATCTATATGCTGCGAGTCACCGGATCAAAGCTTCCAGTTGAGATATTCCTTGCAGATAAACGTGAATACGATGCGTTTACATGTGGTCTATTGCTCCGGTCTCTAAATTCACGCTGTATAATCCTGGATGAGATACTCTCCTTTTCACCTTTGCAAGAAGGATTGATGAAATATCAATTTAAAATATTTTCACTTCTCTTTTCTTCGTTTGAAGAGGTCTTTTTTCTTGATGCGGATGCGTTCCCAATACGTGATCCTGCTCCTCTATTCACCTCGAAACCATTCACATCAACCGGGATGGTGACATGGCCGGACTTTTGGCAAATTACATATCATCCTTGGTTTTTCGAAATAACCTCTCAACGGTTGCCGACCAGCTTTCCCATACCGTCTACCGAATCCGGCCAGCTGCTGATATCCAAACGGTCACATTCTAAAGTGCTCTTGCTCTCCGCATACTATAACTTCTATGGTCCTATGTACTACTACCCCTTACTATCTCAGGGCCATCCAGGAGAAGGAGATAAAGAAACATACATTGCGCCCTCAATAATCTTGGATCTTCCATTCTATGCGGTTTCTACACGCCCCGAAGTGTTTGGGTATGTCAGCCAGGACGGCGACTGGAAAGGAGGGGTAATAATCCAGGCAGACCCCACATGGGAGGCTGTATCGAGGCCAGGTATAAATTATGGATGGAAAGGAAAGCCTGTCGCGCCCTCCAACGCATATCTCACGTTTCACGCGAATTTACCGAAACTAGACCCGGTTCGAGTCTTTGGAGAGGGCGGACTCGCTTGGACTGCCGACGGCAAACCTCGACGCATGTGGGGAACAGCAAAGGACTCAATCCTCCGTGTTGGTTCTGATGTTGAAAAGAGGTTATGGAAGGCTCTAGAGAAAACGTCATGTCAGCTGGAGTGGAATTTCACCCCTTGGGACGAGAAACCCAGGCTTTGTGAAAAGATCCAGAGGTTTATTCAAGATATGGCCTAGTAAGCGGGTGTATATTGTTTACGGAAAATTCTCTCGTCTGGTTAATGTATATATATCCCCAGTTCTACAATAGGTTTCCTCTTTGTTCAATTCACAGACTGCGGAGGATTTCTACGGAGTACTACAGGTATATCGCTATCCGGCGTAACGGGGCCGCCTTGTACTAGCTGTGTAGAGAGGAGCGCCCTTCATGCACACCAAATATAATACCACTCAGAGCCTAGAGGTAATCTGGACATACCAGCATCGTGACATAATATTGAGCCACCATGAATAGTATATCTGGCGGCCAAACAAAAAGTCGTTGGTATAAAGCCAGAGTAACTTTAAAACGGGTCTCTTCACGTGACAGCAACTAGTTAGCTTGCGCCTCCTTGACGCGCCGCCTTGGCTAGTGAGTAAATATCAACTAGACGCAGCGCAAAGCAGACTTGATATGTATCATCGACACGCTTAATATAGTCTATTTCAACTATCATATCTATTTTTAGTTATTATTCTTCACATACTTCTATAAATTAGAAACTATAGGCTACAAAAGTTTAATTGTCTAACCAATTAACTGCTTCCATGCGATTTAGTTTTTGATCTTGAGCTTGTTTCTCATATCTCCTGCGCCACTGTACTATTGTTCATCTGTGTGCACGTCATATCAGGTTGTTTCCAGCTGGTTATTCATATGTAATAGGATATCCAGTCTATGTTTGTTCTCTTTCCCACAATTATACCTAGTTAATGCCTTGAAAATTTATGACTAGTGCTTAACCATCAGTTGTATATACACCAGGCATTTAAAGAAAGCATCGGATAGTAAACATGGACCATGAAATCCAACAGGAAAGAGCAGGGCTCCTAGGCGGCCTTTCTTCAGATACCAACGAGTATAGATACCCCGGGCTGGACGGTGCGAAAGCAATTATTAGTCGAGAATATGATCGCTTCCTGGACGAGCACAAAAGTCCACATATTGTCTTTACACATACACCACAGTCTGAAGTTGATATAATTGATAGCGAACGCCTTGGAAGAACCGACTACCACTCTTCTTTACAAACATTAGTTATTACTATGCCGAGCCTCCCCCATGAAGAGGCTAGCCGCCTTTTCTGCGGGCTAGTTGTACTTAAGGCTCAGAGTATGGGAGTCCGACGTCTTATTTCCTTTAGAGGAAGTACTACCACAAAAGCCCGGGAGAGAGAGAAGCAAGCCGATGAATCGTGGGGTCCACGTCAGAGGAGAGGTCAGCCTGGGAAATGGCCAACGATCGCGCTCGAGGTAGCCTTTTCAGAATCTCAAGAAAAGGTGAAAGCCGATATGTCATGGTGGTTATACAGATCGAATGGCGCCGTGTTAAAAGCAATCTCTATTGATATCAAGAGGACGAGCGGCAACGTCTACATTACATTATGGGAGCGTGGCGCGATACCAAGTAGGCAGCATCCCCAGCCAGAGCCTAGAGTAGTTGGAGAAATGAGGATATATAGAGGGAGGGATGGAAGGCCAACGAGAGTAGAGGGAGCTGATTTGACTATACCGTTCCATGACATGCTCCTTCGTGCCCCTGACACTGATTGGGGAGAGGGTGATTTTATATTCACGAAGGAGGAGCTGCTTGAACTTGCTGAGGACGTTTGGGATGACATGGAGCAACTAGCTTGAACCGAAAGACCATGACACTTGAACAGAGCAGTGAAATTAATAAGGCAGCAAGACGGCTGAGAAGAGGCCTTTAATTTTGAAGGCGCTGCGTGCCGGCTACAGGACCGTATTATCTTTATCTTGATGGTGTAGACATGTTCTCATATCACCTTTGCAGTCTTACATCAGACTTAAACCTCATTTCTCCCTTTACTATGTAGGGTATAAGACACTCCTCAAACACATAACTATGTTAGTATCAAAGTAGTCAAACGCGCTCCTATCATAAGACGTACTACTGATGCAGCTTCTGCAGCTCGCGAAAGAGTCCGTTGTGACAAGCTATGACCTTACAGCAACCAGCTTCGACGCCCTCATCCGCAGGTATCGCTTCCATAGCCTCCTTCGCTTATATCTTAAACGCCACAATGCCTCACCATCCAGCGTTTGCTTCTTCGCGCCAACTTTATCAAAACTACTCGAGGCCATCATAGTATGTACGCATATACGTACGGCTAGCCATGCGGTAAGGCAGACGCTTCCTACAGAATTACTTTTGAGTCGACCGTGATTGCAGCATAAATATAGCACGACTGCATGCAGCCATTACGAAGTAGAGTACGTGTAGGTGTGTGTAAAGGCGTGCCGTGTAAGACAGGCCACGCATAGATGATGGCTCAGCCGGTGACGTAGATTAGGTTCTTTAGAATATCAAAGCCAGAATCGGTGACGAACTCACCACCTGGAATTCTTCTTCTTGTCCGGTGATTAGCTAGACCTTGTTTTTTTCCTTCTTCTTCATGTTTGAGCTGTAGCTTGATGGCTTTCGGGCGGAGAGCTTTCGGATAGATAACATTTCGAAACTGTGATAGAGAAACAAGTGATACACTCAAAACACCCAAGTGTATGGAGTGTCTTTTGCTCATTCAGGGTCCCCGATTTCCTCCTTGCTAGCCTCTGGAGCTTTTGCTCCCCCTTTTCCTTCCGCCTCGAGTTCCTGCAACCACTGTTTGCCTTCCTCTGTGGTCGCGTCAACGATTCCTTGCTCGACTGTCAAGATGCCACTTTCTCCTAGTTTTTCAACGACGCCCTCTGCTTCTTCCACGCTCATCTTACCCAGCACCTTGTTCACCTCATCCAAGCTTTCAGACTCCAACGCTTTCTGGAGACCGGGTGGGAAGCTGTTGAAAATCTCCCGAGCAGCGATATGAGCCTCTTCCTTGCTATCGGCAGGAGGGATAGAGATATTTAGCTGAGTCGATGGGTCAACTGCGTGAAGTTGGATTTGCTCGACCTCCGATGGGCCCTCGTTGGATGATTTGGCAAGTTCCTTTACACGTGTCTTGATGCGGTTGTAAGTATCGTTAACATCATCACGGAACATCACACCAGCGCGATGGTCTTCCGTGGTGATCCTGTTTCGTGGTAAACATTAGTTAAATATGTTGAAATCCTCGTATATTGCAAGGAGACGTGGGTTTACCAACCGTTTAAAGAAGAGAGCAACGCCATCTTTACCCAGAGAACGGCAGTATTGTAATAGTAGGCCATGATGAACACACTGGCGGGCGTATTCTTCATCACCAGCCATCTGAGCATTAAATGCTTCCATCAAGAGTTCGTCTGTCCTTTTCTCCGCCAATAGCTCTGGGTGATCGGTGAGGAAAGAGTATGCTTCGCGGTAGTCTCCAATCTTATGCTTTGCAAACTCTTTCGTCAGGGGCCGGACCGTTATACTTCCTTCTTCTTCTTCTTCTTCTCCTCCTCCTTCACCGTCTTCGACATCAGCTTCCGCACCTGAGGAGACAGCATCCATGTTATCTGCGCATCCAGGATTGAGGAGTTCCACAGTAGCCTCCTTGGGCTTCTTTGGCTCAGACTTGCTCTTGGACGACGAGACAAAGGAGCTGTCAAAGCCGGTGTGTATACTATCACTGGTGATCTTCTTGCTTTCTTCCTTCTCCAGTTGAGCCAGCTTCTCTAGGAGCTGCTGTTGGAGGTCAAGTACCTTGGTCTTGTGGCCTTCCACCCCGGTGATGAATGCTTGATATCTGTTCTCTGGCCTCGACTCATCCAGCTCTTTCTTAACCTGGTCTACCAACGACCCCATCATCTGTGAATACTTGGGCTGGGTCCCCTGCGTATGGACATTCTCTGGCGGAGCTGGTGGCTGGTCCTCCTTTGGGTCGCCAGCGGACTCGATCAGAGCCTGGAAAACGAGCTCGTCAGGATTTCTAGAGTCGCTCTCATGTTTCTTGAGGGCCGTCAAGAGGCTGTCAATCCGCTTCAGGAGGCCGTCGTTTATGATTCTCTCGTATCCTAGAGTCGCAATCTCATGGCGGCGTTGCTGTCGTTGCTGGTGGATTTGGTTCTGCTTTGCACGGATAAAGGACCGTTTGTCCACATTTGGATGGACTTCTATATCCGAGTCGTCTGAAAGCTCGAGAGCATCCCATTTACTGTAGTCCAGCACCATCTTTGCAGAGAGAAATAAGTCCTGTATATTGTTTTCTGTTAGCAAAAGCTACCCCGCCATATAGAAAGCAAGCAAAAGAATAGGCAACGCACACCAGGTAGGCTTCAAGTAGCCGTTCAGTGGTATAGAAGCTCCAGCTTCAGCTAGCCAACAACCGCACTGGCGTAAATAATACCTTGTGTGTCGCAGGTGTTTCTTCTTCTTCTCCCTTTATATCCTTTGTCGTTCACCTCCAGAACCTGAGAGAATGTTCGGAAGCGGGCCGGAGAAAAGAAAAAAAAAAAAGAATGACTAAATTTTGTTCCGGCGCCAGCGACTCCGAACTTCAGCTCAAACATCCTAACTTTTTCTTTGACAAGCCGACAAGACCATGAGCCAATACAGCATCAGAAGCGACCTCACTATGCCATTCATTCCTTGAATGACATTCTTTTCCTTTCTGTACTGGGGTGCTCAGTAGCGGTGGGCGGGGCGCAACTTCGCGATGCGCGGCTCAAAAGTCCTCCTCCAGACGGCCAATTCTCGAGATGCCATACGCCGCATACCTCTGGGCCTCAGTTACTCCTCACGATGTCCCTCTGTCGATGGTAGGGCACCGTTGATAAATCCCGGGGCCTTTGTCAGGCAGTTCCATGCGGCGTCCCTACCGACGTTTGGCGGAAGCAGGCTTCACAATTGCGGAGTCTTCATCTCTACAACTCGTTCAGATGTTCTCGGAAGCCTCCCTCGAAACAGCGTCTTTTCTCAATCGTCGCACCCTATATACAGACAGCTCCGCTTTGCGACTGGGAAGAGCTCTCCAGGAGTGGCTGAATCTACGAAACTTCAAGGAAATGAGCAATCGGTGAAGGATATTGCTCAAGAAGAAGAAATAAGCCAAGCGTTCGAACGGTCTGAAAAAGCATCTCAGGCGGCTCAGATAAACCTGAGTGCGAGGTTAGCGAAGGACGGCCTGGCCCATGGGAAGAAATCCGGTGTTCGAGAGATATGGAGATTAATTAAAATTGCACGTCCAGAGGCCAAGGTCCTATCCGTTGCGTTTTTGTTTCTGCTCATCTCCTCCTCGGTGGCCATGTCTATTCCCTTCTCCATTGGGAAAATTCTCGATATCGCAACTAGCTCTAACCCCAATGCTTTGAAAGATTTTCTGGGGATCAGTCTTCCAGTGTTTTACACAGCGCTCGGCGGAATTATTTTACTAGGAGCGGCGGCAAACTATGGAAGAATCATTATTTTGCGAATTGTTGGTGAACGGATCGTTGCCCGACTTCGATCTAAACTCTTCAGAAACACCTTTGTTCAAGATGCCGAATTCTTCGATGCTAACCGTGTTGGCGACCTGATCTCTCGACTTAGTTCTGATACCATCATCGTGGGAAAGAGTATCACACAGAATCTTTCAGATGGATTACGAGCGGCTGTCAGTGGTGCTGCTGGGTTTGGCATGATGACGTATGTTAGTTTGAAACTGTCAAGTGTTTTGGCCATTCTGTTCCCGCCTATTGCTATTGCGGCTTTCTTCTATGGACGAGCAATCCGTAACCTTAGCCGAAAGATACAGAAGAATGTCGGCACATTGACCAAAATTGCAGAAGAACGACTTGGTAATGTCAAAACAAGCCAGTCTTTTGCCGGCGAGATTTTGGAGGTTCACCGGTACAATCAACAGGTCAAGCGGATCTTCGAGCTTGGTAAGAGGGAGTCCTTTATCAGCGCGACCTTCTTCAGTGGTACAAGCTTAATGGGAAATGCTACAATCCTTGCTCTGCTTTACGTTGGTGGCGGAATGGTTCAATCATCAGCCATTTCAATCGGAGAACTCACTTCGTTTTTGATGTACACGGCCTATGCTGGATCCAGTCTTTTTGGACTTTCAAGTTTCTATTCCGAGCTCATGAAGGGTGCAGGTGCTGCAAGCCGCCTGTTTGAACTCCAAGATCGCAGGCCTAAGATTTCCCCTACCGTGGGCGACAAGGTCACCTCAGCTCGTGGTCCCATCAGGTTTAAGAATGTTGCATTCAGCTACCCTACCCGGCCTGCCGTATCCATTTTCAAGGACTTGGACTTTGAAATCCCCCAGGGAAGTAATGTGGCCATTGTCGGGCCATCAGGCGGCGGGAAATCTACTATTGCATCTTTGTTACTCCGGTTCTATAGCCCAACCAAGGGGCAGGTTTTCATCAACGGTAAAGATGTTTCAACCATGAATGCAAAATCTCTCCGAAGGAAGATCGGAATTGTTGCACAAGAGCCGGTATTGTTCTCTGGTTCCATTGCGGAAAACATAAGCTATGGAAGGCCTGATGCCACAAGATCTGAGATCATTGCAGCAGCTCGTAAGGCTAACTGTCAGTTCATCAGTGACTTCGTAAGTTAAATCCTGGGTTATTTATACTCAATCTTCACCCGTATATGCTTCTTTTGCTCTGACGCTAACCGGTCTCCCTCTTAGCCCGACGGATTGGACACTAATGTTGGCCCCAAAGGAGCACAGCTATCTGGTGGCCAAAAGCAAAGAATTGCCATTGCTCGTGCTCTTATCAAAGAGCCAGATATTCTCATTTTGGATGAAGCTACTTCTGCGCTTGATGCTGAATCCGAAACCCTCGTCAACAGTGCTCTTGCGGCCCTACTCCGCGAAAACAATACCACTATTAGCATAGCCCATCGCTTGTCGACCATCAAACGATCTGACACCATTATCGTTCTAGACTCGGATGGCCGAGTTGCTGAAATGGGATCTTACAAAGATCTGAACTCGAGACCAGACGGCGCCTTTACGAAGTTAATGGCGTGGCAGCTTAGCGGTGGTGAAGGTATTGCTGCTCCTGTTCACATCAAGCCTATCGCCCGAGGGCCGCCTTCAGAAACAGAGCACCTCCAACAGTTGCTCCAGGAGGGTGAGGATGAGGAATACGACGAAATTGAGGCCGAAGACGAACCCGAATCGACTGGCGCTACTGCCGGTTCAGCCGTTAAAATTGAAGCAGATGCGAAGAAATAGACCTTTGCCCGCAACTAGAAGCCTCTTTCTTACCTCTGGGACATGAATCTACAGCCACCATTATGACTGGATCACCTCCCTAATTCCGTTTAAATTATCTATTGGCCCAAAAGATATTCCTCATCGATTTCTCGCGTTATGATATTCAATAGCGCATCCCCACTCTAGATCTATGTTTCGATTAAAGACATATGAATTTAATACTCAACGATATATATCCCGTCCCTCTTCCTTTGTCAATGTGCCTATATTTTCAGTGTACAGGCTAACGACATAGATGTACTTTTACCATGGCGAGTTGCTACTATAGATTTTCTTTGGCTATCTCCTTTGCCTTCATCTCCAAACTTTCTTATCATCAGCATTATCAGGCTCCGTCTACATGTACTTAAGGGGTTTAAAATAGAACGCGATTGCAGAATGTGTTTTTCAGCATATATTTATACACGTTAACCGGAGTAGGAGTGAAAAATTAACCCTCTAAATGAAAATCTCTACGTCGAAAGACATGAGTATCTCTAGACATCAAAGAGCACCGATAAAAAAGCTCAGCACGCTCCCAGCTGCTAAACCAGCAACTATCAACATACCCATGTATGCACCAGCTGCTTCCCTCTCTTCCTCATCGACAGCCTCTGTAGCGCTAACCATGGAAGAAACGCAGAGGTAGCCGTTCGTGAGCCCAAACAAACCCTGAATAAAGATAAGGTATACAACGTCGCTGTTAATTCTGGCGCCTCTGCCCCGTACATTACACATCAGGAACAAGGGAATGAAAAGGATACGTGCCAGTGATAGAATAAACAGGATGAATGGAGGCGGCTTCCTATCTCTGAAAAACGGGAGCAGGACCAGCATACGGCCAAGCAAGTCACCGGAGTTCCAGAAGAAAAGGGCAAGCGCAATGAATACGCCTGGCTGGGTATAGCGTGGCGGAGGCTGTTCCTTGTTTGTGCTCTGGACCTGAGATGCGAAGACAGGAAAAGCCATGGTAATGCAAAAGCACAAAAACATCGCAAGGGATGCCCAGCGCGTTTTTTGAAACAGTGTCAACAGTGAAACTGTCTTTTTCGTCGGTGAATTTGGACCCTCGGTATCTTCATCCGCGAGATAGCGTATCCCTTGCCGCTTGCCCGGGTAGCGATAGAGGTAAAGGAAGACAAAAAACGCACCTCCACACACCAGTGTTGCAGTAGCAAAGAATCCAAATGCGGATTTAGCTGCGTTTTGTCGCTCATCGGACTCGTGTACATTGCTTTCCGGCACGGCAAGGACTGAAATAAGTTGTACGATAGCCGGCAAAACCCCGGAGAGCGCCTGGCCCGTCATGATTCCTTGCGTGTACGCTGGCTGAGAGAACCCAGACACATATGCAAACAGTCCGTTTTGGTTTAACGAGGCGGAAAACGAACATACGAAGACCATGAGAAGGATGAACGAGAAAAGGACGGGGGCAGAGGGTCCCGGGTTAGGAAGGGTTGATAGAGTGAGCAGAGTAAACACTGATACCGTGAGAGCGAGTGATAGCATGACTCTCCGTGGATAGGACGCATTTTCCTGGAGTTTCAGCAGAACTAAATGGGCAGTCAGGCCGGTGATGCAGAATACGGATGTTATTGAAGATTGTGAGTTGTCTCGGAGCCAGTCATTGCTTGCAAAACGAATTTGAAAGTAGGGGGCAGCGGCAAGGAATGAGTTCCTATAAAAGCGACAATACCACCACGGTCAGCTATCTTAATCATTATATATGGCCTTGACATGATAAAAATGAGAATCATAAGAGGAGTTGTGGCCTTGGGGTAAAGACTACTCACCATCCCCAGAGCATAGCCATGCCCATCCAGACAAAATAAAAATACACTATCCATGAAAACTCCTGTGCCGGTGGAACATCGTATGCAGATTGCTCTGTGTCTTCTTCATTGGTATATATCTCATCTCCGTCTATTCGTTTGTACGCTTGCTGCTGCTCGTCTCTAGGGGTAAAGAAACGGTTGAGCCTGTCTTGGGACATGGTTGGTAGGTTTCCCAGTAAGCTCTTTTCTAGCAGTTAGATATATATCTATATCCGAATGGCCCTACCGAGTTTTCAAGTGTATCAAAGGGCTCATGGCCCATCCTGTCTTGTTTAACATCGAAAGTCCGTCTTCGGCTCTTCAAATTATTAATAGTATTTATGATAACGGAAGATAAAAAGCTAGCGCGAATGACCAAGTCACATGAAAACAGCCAACAACAATCCTTGCTTGCATAGTTTTATCAACTTCTATCTCTCTCTTTCAAGAGGGCCAGTGGCCATAATAACAATACATGAACAGCACCCCTCTTGCGTTGACTTGTACCACTGATCATGTGGAATTGCTGGGGGTAGTAGAGGTGAGATAGCAAGCTCAGATAACAGCCCTCTGGCAGGATGGCGTCCTCTGGTTCTCATCCCCTGTATTTGGTGGACTGAGCTGAAACTCATCAGAGGTTTTCTGTCCTGGCTTGTACCGGTTGCTATAATTTGCTATGCCCAGAGCACCTTGCTGTTTGGCCACCGCCGAGGAGTCAATAAGTGGGTGCCCGCTGGCTGGTGGCTCTATTGCTACTCTAACTGGATGACTCTCCCCGCTGCTTGAATTAGAGCCTTTCGTCTGTATAATGGCTGAGTTGTGCGGTTTCCCCTTCGAAGAAAGAGGTATCGGATGCGCCGTACGAACATGGCTTCTTAACCGGTCCCTTTCCGTATTGCATTTCCCATTAGCTATGATACCCGTTAATAGTGTCCTTGGGACTGATATCTTACCTGTCATCAAAAGCACTATAGCACTCAAAACAAGGGAAAGAGTTCCCTTTCCCTCTATCTAAGCTCTGCGTTAGCCTGAAGCTCTCTCTTCTAAATAACCCGTTTGCTTTCTCCATGCGTACTCACGGGTGCTTCCATGCCGCAGAAGATGATCTGCACGTTGGAAAGTCTCCTGACATGTCGTACATTGGAACCTGGTGCTTCCCTTTGCCGGGCTTCTCTGAGAACGAAGTACAGGGTTTTCGTCTTCAGCTGTCATCACCATATCCATCTCTGCCACAAATGTCATGATCCTGTCACGTCTGAGTTGGAGGGATGGCGGGTAACGTCACGAGAACCCAGGCTCTCCAACATCAGAATATTAACCATACTAGACATTATGGGAGCTCGAATGCCCCTGCTAATATTATTTTACTATAACCAACAGCTATACTCCGTATACAAAAAAGTAATCGCAACCCAATTGATAAACAAATCAATGCTTATGTAATCGGGCGAAAAGCGCTCTTCTATTTCGCAGCTATGATATCAGATTCCTAGAGAATGATACTACTTATATCTGTGACTATGCAAAGCACTGCTGCAGCAGTATCCAGGTGTCAGGCAACATTGTGTACATATCGATCTCCCAAGTGCCTCTATTTAAGGGACGGGGTAAGGAAGTATTATTACGTCAGAATGGCACTTTCCAGGCAGCCATTTATATATAAACCCGTCAACTCGTCAGCTGAGCCAGCTCTTCATCATCTCTCATCCCAACAGAGAACCATTTCAGCCTCTAGTGCCGTGATGAAAACCAGATTTTTGATACTCTCGGATACCCATGCAACGGCATACACGGCTCCGAAAACATACGCTGATGTGGCCCTCCATGGTGGTGACCTTACCGAGAGTTCTACGCTGGATGAGTACCGATCAGCCGTGAAGCTTTTAAAGGAAGTGAACGCTCCTCTCAAGCTTGCTATTGCTGGGAATCACGATTTCACTCTCGATATACCATTGTACAAGTCGAGAATGGATCAAGCACCACCAGAACGACGAGAGCGGCTGATAGAGGAGTACGGTGACTTTGGCGAAGCAAGACACCTCTTTGAAGAGGCTGGTATTATTATTCTAGATGAGGGAACCCATCACTTTAGTTTGGAGAATGGTGCCTCACTATCCATATATGCTAGCCCATACACTCCTTCGTTCGGGAGCTGGGGATTTCAGTATACGCGGGAACAAGGACACGAATTCAATATTAAGGGAGTTGACATCGCTATGACCCACGGACCACCAAGAGGGATACTGGATGAAACTATTTTCCATGACGAGGCGGGGTGTACAACCCTTCTTAGAGCTATTTCCCAGGCGAGGCCAAAGGTACACTGCTTTGGACATATACACGAGGCATGGGGAGCAAAACTGATTACCTGGCAAAATACGGGGTTTTCCGCCCCTGTTGACAAGGAAAATTCTGTTTTAGTAAACAGTTTAACCGGGGCAAAGGAATCGGAGGAGCTTATGAACAAGCTGAAGGCACGCCAGCTCGAAGGATACTATGCTACCAGCCATTGCACAGATGATCCTACCCCAATTCAGCCGGGGCAACAAACTCTCGTCATAAATGCATCCATAAAAGGACATGGATGGAATAACTACCAATTGCCGTGGCTGGTGGATATAGAATTACCAAGGACAGATTAAATAGCTGGAGTCATGTTGAACCGTTGCCCTACCGATATCTAACCAATAAACTAAGTTTTAATGAGACTTAAATGCTATAATAACACGGTATTGTTGCGGGTTGTCAAAGCAAAAATAAAAAAAGGTGGGTATATATAGTATGAAGCATGGTAAAAGTTACAGCAACTGTGAGTAGGGGTATATATATATATGCAGTTATTCGGCGTTGGTAACCACTCCTAGCATAAGAAATCTGATTCTTCCAGCCACTGGGAACCAATGGCAATGGCTACCAGGTCTCCAGCGCAAGATAAATTCTCATATTCATCTTCCAACTCGAGAAGGTCCTGTACAGTTTCCAGTCGTTCAAAAAGTACTTGCTGGACATCCTCACTTAGCTTTAATTGCTCCGCCTTTAATCCCTCCTTACCGCCCTGCATAGATTTCTGCCTGGTATCCAAATTCCCTGGTATGATATTACTGTTCGTAGACCTTAGCCCAAGGGGCTGTCGTTGTGTTGGGGTTAATTTCTCATTGTGACACTTGTTAATGAGCGTTGTAAGAATAAAGGACAGCCAGATGAGATTTGTTCTTGGCCTATAATTCTTCCATTGTTCCGTGCTCGGGCAGCTGTCATCAAAAACCTCCGATCTCATCCTGTAAAAGTGGATGTTAGCAATGGTAAAATCAGCTTGAATGTGCTACAATACTTACAGTCGATACGTATCACGAAGAAATTTTTCCTCTTCATCCCGGCCAACTGCATCGAATATTTCCTTCCTTTCAAGATCAGACCACGCCACTGCTCCGCTAATAAAACCAGTATCTGGCGTCACACTTGATGAAAGCTCGGCTCGAGATAAGGAGTAATCAATTATAGTCGTCTCCAGCCCACTTGTGCCTAGGCATGCCGATAATGAATGGTCTTTTTTATATTTCCTTTTTTGTGGTGTTTCACGGGGAGGTTGTGTTTGCTTCACGCACACATTTCCAAGATGTAGGTCGCGGTGCTATGTGGGTATTAGATACATATTGCTAAAAAAAATAAACTGGCTATAATTGAGCAAAGACATACCTCAAAAGATGCATACTGCTCTGCCCTTGCCAGGGCTAATGCGACACCCCAGAAGACGTCATAAACCTGGAAAACAGAGGAAAACTTGAATTTTTCAAGCTCAAACCCTGCATTCTCCATTTCCAATATTGCCCATAGCTGGTTATCTGGATATGACTTCTTCTTGCTTGGGTCAGGGTTGAAACAATCGTCCTTAGTCTGGCTATATATATTCCATGCGTCCTGGTAGGATGGGGGAAATCTACCCTGAACAACGTGGATCTCTCTGAACCGTGCAAATCCAGGTATCGGATCAAGGAGTTTCAGTAGTTGAACTTCAGCAACGATCTCGTCGACCGTAGTGAATTTTTTCGAACCGGGTCCCCGCTGTGCACGTAGGGGAACAATTTTAAAAACACCGTTCATATAGGCCTGTAGTTTAGAAGCTCGACCAGTCGATAGACTTGCTTTAGACACTCCATCTTTTGCACATAGTTCGTAAACCTCTCCGTAAGATCCTTCCGCTATCTTTCTCACATCAAAAAGACCCACGACTCGATTTGCCCATTTATCGAAGTATTGGATTCCACGGGACGACCTAGTTGACATCCCTTCGCGAAGGATAGACTGAACATAAGAAGTCTTTTCCTTATCATTGACGTATGTCTGCTGTGACTTTGCATCACCCCCTTTTTTTATTTCCGTCCGAGATCTAGACTGTTTGGTGGGCTCCTCTTTCACCGCTCCCTCTTTCAAGTCGTTCGAGCCTTTCGAGGTTCTTTCTGGGAGATGACTTTTCGAAGTTATCTCTGTCGAATCTTCGGTTATAGCCTTATCCGGTAGAAGGCTATCAGAGCCGCGATCATATCCTTCTTCCGGAGGCTCATGCGCTCTATTCCCAGCTGAAGTGTGCGACCAATTTCCTTCGATTGTTATCTGGGATAACTGTTCTCGAACTGCGTTGATCAGGGACTCTGCGTCTTCTGGGGCAGAAGCTGATTTTTGCGATACTTCCTCCCTCTGAACTTGGCCATTGCCCTTCGAGATTGCCGGCGCCGTAACTGCACTTTTTCCGTAGACACTCTTTGTCGGCTTTGATGCTGGGTTCGTAGTTTTCAGTAGGCGGGAGTTTTGGAGCTTCGCGTCAGACAGTGGGCCTGTGGTAGAGCCCTCAATATACGTGACCATGCCTAAGGATGTGATCTTCGAGTATATCTGTTCGGTATAATTTAGTGCTTCTGTCGTGTGCAAGAGAAAGACTCTCACTAAGAGATAAACCCTTTTATTTATATATTTCCAAAAGAGGACTAGCTTCCGCTGTTACCATAGCAAACGCACGGTCCAGTTTAGCTAACTCGGATGACTAATCCGGAACAGAGGCGGAGAATAAGTCATGTGACTCTCCTCCTATTCCGCCCGGGCAATATTTTTTTTCTACGATAATATTACCAGGTTTCAGGCAAGACAACGCCAACGTCGAGCCGTGTGGGATTTCATCAACGGACATCAATGAGGACGTCTCCGGGTAACGAGCCTTGCCACTAGGCATTCTCCTTCGTCAACCTGTATCTCTCGAGGTCTATTTTCTCTATCCCGCAGAGAGTATCACACAGGTACCATCACATGGCACGCGACCCATCGTTAAACCGCGGATTGCGATCAAACTCTTCTACCGAATATTGCCAAATATAAACACACAGATTTGATAGAGGTGTTCAGATATCGGTTTCAACTCACTTTCACTTAGGCGCTTGCGCCGTCCAACGCCAGACATGGCCTTCAACTTCAACTGGTCGCCTCTGATGGCAGATGCTGGATTTTATACACGCGCCCAAGAGTTGCTCACAGCTGCGTTGAACAAGTCGCCAAAACCTCCGATTATTGTGGGCGACATCACAGTCACGGAACTGAATTTGGGATCTATACCACCAGAACTCGAAATTTTAGAGATAGGGGATCTGGCTGACGACCGGTTCCGTGGTATATTCAAAATGTCATATTCTGGAGACGCATATCTTACTCTGAAAACCTGTGTACAAGCAAACTCGCTGAATACCTATATGGTGACACGCCCTAAGTTCACCTCTCCATGCCCACTCGCTGCAGAGTAAGTCTTGCTTTCCAGACCACCTCGTTTGATATGCGTTAAAAGGCTTGCTGACAATATTCTTAATAGCCATGGCCTCACTATCCCATTGCAAATAACTCTGTCGGATATCAAACTTTCTGGCTTTGTGGTCCTAGTTTTTTCCAAACAAAAGGGAATCACACTAGTCTTTAGAAATGATCCTCTTGAGTCTTTGAAGGTGTCATCAACATTTGATTCTATTCCATTCGTTCGAGACTATTTACAGAGAACAATCGAGGGTCAGCTACGCTTACTGTTTATGGATGAGCTTCCCGCAATTATCCACCGGCTATCTCTTCGCCTATGGGTACCAGAGCTTCGTGGGCAGGACACAGAGGTGAAAGCCGATGAAGAGGCCGGTCCTGGCCAGGACCCTTTGCTCAGCCCTCCCCAGGATCCTGTTGATGCATCAGGAAATGTCCTGAGCGTCGCCCAGATTGCGTCTCTCTCCCTAGACTCTGGAGTTGAAATGCACTCTCTATTCTCTCAGAGGAATTTAGTTCGATTGGCTACTTTGACTGACTCTCAACGGACACTTTCCCTCTTCACTCCAACAATACATGATGTTGTTTTCAGGGCACTGACCGGAGCTATGGAACAGTCGGAATCTCACGGAGGCTTGATCTCACCCGCCAGCCCTCCCCTTTCTAGGACTCACTCTCATGTTGCGTCTCTACATTCCTTGCAAGAGTCGTCGATGAGCAAATCTTCTCTGGGATCTCCACTGAGTGGATGTGGTCTCACGATGGGTGCTGGCCGCCACCCAAGAACACGTCCATCTAGGAAGCATAAACGACGCGTTGTGGACTTGCGAAAACCCCAAAAGTTAGACGATACTTCAAGCACATGCACAGATAGCGAATATACCGTCTCCACTGATGCGTCTACCGTGTTCTCGTCTTCTGCCCGAGTTGGGGAGAAACCGGATGACCCTATAACTCCGCCGGTCTCCCCCGATGCTACCATTAAGGTGAAAGATCGCTCACGGGTACCGGCTATGCAAGGCCTAGGCCCATCTGTTACGAACAAAGCTGGCCAGTCTACCCCGTCAGCCGAAGCTGAGAAGATAACTCTTAGCAATGGAGAACCTTCATACATTCCACATCAAAATACCCCTACTATTGAGGCTCATGAAAAAGGTGATGATAATACTATCTCCCTTAACGGAGTTCCGCCTAGCATGCTGTCGTTTGTAGCCGTGAGCCAAGACCGAAGCATCTTGGAACAGGCTTGGATGATGAAGTTAGCAAACGAAATCAGCCGCAGAATCCAGGAGGGTAAAGGACCTGGTAGTGTGGGTAGCAACTACTGCGGACGCCGGGACCCATCACCACCTCCAGCTTACGGACAGTGATCTCACTGCTTTATCACAATAATCCCCTGCTATATTATAATCGCCACTCCCAATCTTGCTTTGTCTTTGTGTTTTCTTCGCAAGGGTCTCTTGGTTGGAGTTGTACCTTTATTCCCTATGTCACTCTCTTTTATTCTTGTATTTGGCCTGTTTCTGTACGCGTGTGTGTTACTACTGCTTTTTGCCTGTTTGACGACAGTCTTTTTTTGGATACCACTTCTTTTCTACCGATGCTGTATATATTTTTCCCGGAGTTGGTTTGGGTGAAAATGTGGTTCGAGGATATTCAATGGAAGGGGCATAAGGGTTGTGCGGAACAGCCTTTATGGCGGCCTGGTTGAATTGTGTTTTTATTGTCTATTTATGTATAAAACAAGGGTGAATCGGGCTTAACAGTTTCAATTCTAGTTGATATACTGACGTCTATTCGCGTCTGCTTCTTTTTAGTCCTTTCGAATCATAGCACATAGACTGGTATTGTTTCCAGCCACTGCGTTGAATCCGGGAGATTTTGAGGAACAGCAATCCGAAGTAATATATGGAGCTTATACATAATTTATAACTGACGTCGCTTGCCGTATCTTGCGCTATGTTTTGTTGCTCGCAGATGAAGAAAAGGGGCATAAGTAAATCATCGAGGATTTTATAATTGTTAGCTTTTTGCTTTCGTCCAACTTCTTGGCTGTCACCAAAACACAAGCGACACTTTTATCTCACCAACCGCAACCACAACGGCAACTAAATAGTACGTGATCTACCAGGCCATCTGGGCCGAACCTGATATCCATTTCTCAAAGATGGACGGATTTAAGGCTCTCTTTGGCGGCAAGGCTACAGGTGCTCCGCAAAAGGCTGATGGAGGTTGGTGACACCAACCATTGCATTGATATACTGCTGCTCAAGTCGAATAGCATGGGAATATTACCTTTACAAGACCAAGATCTGACTTTCTCCATCTACCAGGCTTTGCGGACTTTGCGCCTCCTTCTGCTACCGGATCCGGACCTCAGACAACTGCCGTTAGCAGCGTTCCATACACAAAATGGTACCGGGTATGGGAACGCACATCGCCACAGGATTTTATTCAGGAAGCATTCATTATTCCATTTATCATCATAATCGCTATATTGCATATGTGGGGGGCTGGTAAAAACAGGCGCAAGGCAAAGACGTGGGCTCAAGCGAATATTCCGGTACTCTGCGACGAGTTTGCGGTTGTTGGATACAATGGAGTGCCGCACAATGCTAGCTCCGGTGAGGGAATCGAGGTCGATGGTAAAATGCTCAAGGAAAGGGCCCTGAATGAGTTCACTACCTATGCCACCGGCCGTCAGAATATTGCTTTCGTCGATATCACCATCAAAATGCTGAAACGCTATAACCCTCTGTTACTCTTTGGCGAAATGGTTCTTGGTCTTTTTTTTGATGCCATGGTACCATCTACTGAAAAGGTCGAGATCATTGCCTATCCATTTGATGGTAGGGAGAAGGACCTTGTTCCGCCCACACCTATGGATGTTGAAACTGATAAACGATCAAAATCAACTCCTTCCACATATGACGGCTTTGTCTTTGCGGTGGTTCACAAGAATGCTATGCGCCGCCTAAGGGAAGACCGATACGACGTTTCGTTGACATTCACTAAGGATAACGCTAAACTTCCTAGTTGGTTGACCGTCATGAGCGAGAGTGCTGAGATTACGGATTCCATACTTGTTCCCGAGCTTGTCAAGGCTATTGAAGAAGCAGGTGATTTATTTGACCACTTGATTGTCACTGATCAGCCTATGGAGAAGCCTGCAACGTATGTTTATATCATCAACCCTTTCCCTTACAATTTAGAGGGAATCAAGGATTCTATATTGCTATCTACTGACACACTTTCGCAATTTTAGCACTGAAGAAGCAGTTCCCCGGAAGCGACTTATTCTCTCTCTCCGTATCCCGAGCTCTTCGGACGCCTCTGACTATGTATCTTCGTCCAACCTTCTGAAAATTTTCATTCGCCTGTCTGACCGTCTGGTGACTCTCGCTCACTTCAGGCCAGAAGTAACTCGCAAACTCCGCAATACACGTGAGGAAGAGATCAAACGAATGAAGAGAGCTGACTTAGATGAAAAGGCTGAAGAAAGGAAAACAGCCGCTGAAAAGATTAAGAAGGAGGAGCGTGATCGGCTCCTACGTAGCATGTCAGCTGAAGAGCAGAAGAAGTACCTCGCAAAGGAGAAGGAGAGGGAGCAAAAGCGGGAGATGAAGAGACAGACGAGAAAAGGATAAATTTTTATAGCAACCGCTGCTGTTTTCACTAACAATGTTTCGTATCAGCGAGTGCTCTCAGTGACGAACACTTTATGGCTGGCTCCTTTAATATCGTGTCTTTTCTCTAAAGTCATGGCTTGTTCAGGAGCGCTATTTAATAGCCAGAAAAAACTATCATGTGTCCTTTGACCTAAAATTCATGTACACTAGTTATTCAGAATGGCAAATATGTACGAGTGTTTATCTGATTATGGTCGTGAAAGAATAGCAAGTTTACTTTTTATACTCTGGATAAAATATATCTTGCAATGTTAAATGTACAACGGTGTGTAATTGGCTTCAATAGTTAGAGCTGGTTCAACGCGAGGTATAGTTTGAAGCTCTGTCAGACTAGATACACCATATCAATACACCTAAAGACAAACACAGCCTCTATCTCCTAGGTCAATTGTGTTTGACAGATAGTTGGCCCGTAATCTAGTACCAGGTCTTGTGTCCCTATTATGAACATTAGCACAATGTATATCAACGGAGAAACGGTATTCAGGTCTGTTCAGAGTAAACTGCTCTTGTTCTCAAGAGGACAATTTGCTAATCGGTTACTTACAAGAACGATTCTGCCCATAGCGTACATGGTGGCTATGTATCATATATTAGCGAAAAGGTTCATCCATCAGATAAATAATGTCAAGTTGACAAGAGTGGAAGGATAAACCATACCGGCAGCGCTGCCGTAGAGAGATACATAGAATGGATATAGGAAGTATGGGCTTCGGGCAGTCTATTTTTGCATATTTGTTAGTTATGCCTTGTCGGTTTGCCTTGGCCATGACTGGATCTCGATTTGAGGACGCGGAGGGTTCGGACCTTCTTCCATTGGCGAACACCATCGTTGTTCTGGAAAAGACGTTGGTAGTAAGGGACACGGTTCTCTCGGAAGACGAAACTAAACGTAGAGAAATCCATTGGTGTTAGCGAACTCGACTGACTCTGGACGGACGGCGCAAGATTCCTAGCAGGAACACGGCTGTTTCTCCAGAGAAAAAGAAAAAACTGGGACACACATACCCGGCCATACGAGGAAGAGTGCGGGAAACCATGGCTGCGCGAAATCAAGGGAAATTGAGACGCAAGGCGAGGTCAATTGTTATGTGAACGGGAATATTTTGGAGATTGAAGTTGTTGATGTCCGGGAAAGTCGAAAGTGGTGAGACGTTTTTGCCAAGACTATATATCACGTGATATAAAGCTCTTTTCTTGTCCAATTGAACTTCATCAGTTGTAAGGAAGAATATTTCCGTTAGAACAACTCAACCTGGGCGGGATTGCGAAGAGAACTACCCTTGATATTCGGATATGTGATGAAATATATGGTGATAAATGCCTGCCGTCGTGCCTCCTGGGCTTTTTCGACGTCCACCTAATGCTGTTTATGCTCTCACGACAGCTCAGGTTGTTGCAGGGACGCATCAAAAGGCCTGTTGCGCCGATTTCCACTGGCATTGTTAATTCTTCTCTCCACCGCAGAACTGCCTGCGGACCTGCATGCTTTTCGTCAGCTGGGACACAGATAGCCTGCTTCCCCGAGGAATCCATCAAACCTGAGATTGACGATTGCGATGGGACGTCCGGCAGAGAAACCACAGACACCCGCCCCGATTTCAGTCAGCGATTGAACGACGACCCTCAGAACCCTCTCTCAAACCACTTTCCGCCGTCGGAAGAGACGCAGGCGCTTTTAACACATGCGGACCGGACCATACCTACGCGAGAACAAGAATCTCCGGATTCCTCAGGGCCTCAGCAGAAGTGGCAGTTACCTCCAAGGGAGTTTGACCTAGAGTCGGATCTTGGGCATACGCGGAATGTAGGGAGTAAATTGGTGGATAATCCACGCTATTCACAAGATTTTACCCTTTGGAAGGAGCTTGTTCTGTACCGTCAACGCCATTACGGCGACAGCGGAGTTATTGACATATGGAAAGGCTTGACTAGGAGATGCCCGGGAATCTCTCTCCCTACCGAGGGAAAGGTTGCTGACTTCCTATGGGAGGCTTTTCTGTCTGTGGGATTAAAGCATGACTGGCTGCTAAAAGAGCTACATATTCACGCGGAATCCATCTGGAAGGAAAAAGGAACGAGATGGAAATTCTTCTACGAGCGTGTTATAGGTACCTTTGTGAGGGCAGGGAAACAATTGGAGGCGTCGATATGGCACCAGGCGTTGAAAGATACACATCTGGATAGTCCAGAAGGCATACTGTGTGTTTTCAAAACTGCAATGTCTACCAGGGATGGCTTGGATATCTTTCGTAGCCTATGTCAGCTGTCCGATGGGCATAGGTTATACGCATCTGTAATACCGACTCTTTGGAAACATAATAATATTCGATCCGCTCTCGTGATGCACGACTTCCTGATGCGGCGGGGAGATTTTCCGTCATCCCTCGACGACGTTCTGCCTCTAATCCAACATGTGCAAGAAAACAGCACAAAACAGCAGCAGTCTCACTTTCTAGCTGGGCTTATAAAATCCGGGACACTCCCTGCGGGGACTACACTGGATACATTTTATTCCAACTTGCCGCAGGTTGAGACGACTACCTCCAATCCAGCCAATACCCAAACACCGATGGTCAAAGATGATTTTGGAGCACGACTATTTGCTACAAAAACTTTCACATTTGACCTAATTCTTGGAGGCCTTAAAGTGTTTGGCGTGGGGGCTATTGGGCCTTTGACTTTGCAGCAAATGGCACTAAGAGCAGCCGATATTGTTGAGCTGCAGCATCAGATATCTAAACTAAAAGAGATTGGCATATCGACTGGAAGTTCGGTATTTGCCAAAGCTATTGACCACTTTATATCCCGTAAAGATCAACGGTCCCTTCATGATCTGATTCATAGCGACCAACATCCAGACGCCTTGGAGAGCATAGAGACACAAGAATCTCTCTTCCACTACTATTCTATGTCCCATGACTGGCGTCGAGCGAATCTAACACTCACAATCCTTTCTTTCTTGTCTCCTGATGATCCTCATTCCTACAATATACAGTTACGGAATGCATTGAAGCTTGATGATAAGAGGCTCATCTCCGAAATACTCGAGAAGATGAAAAACGATCGCATTTCACCCTCGAGAAAGACTATAAATTGGATGGTATGGAACATTCTTCCCTCTCGCCGCATAGGGACTCGCCCTATATTGGATAAACATTCACGGGACGCCGTTTTACGTCTTTTTGGAATTTTTCAGTATGTCATTAAATACGGGGGATATATCCCCCCGGAGTCATGGGAGGCAGGACTGAAGCAGCTTGTTATCAGTTGTCGATGGTCTGAACTTGAAAGACTATGTCTTTGGCTTGCTGAAAGTTACTCGCCTCAAAACCACCAAAGGTCACAGCTATCAAATACCCACCTACCTCCTACCCATCCGCTATCTCCTTTACGCACAATATTTAGTGCAACTTTTCAAAAAGCCATTATCAATTGTGGTTTCTTACGAAAGCCAAAATTCAACTTTTCAGGACCATCGACCTTGAATCCATATACCTCACCACCTAAGCCTGTCATTCTATGGGTTAGTGGTCTTATTTTATTGAGGCGTTTAAAAGAAAAGGGCGTGTATATCGATACCAATACAGTCCGGCGAGCGTGCCGGACGCGTCTTGCTATTCTTTTCGGTGATGGGCCTGATTCAAAAAGGAGGAGCAACCGTCTGCTTAGAAAAGTAAATCCATGGACTTTGGATCAAATAATAGAAGATGCTAATAGCGTATGGGGTACGTCGCTATTCTCGGGCCTTACGCCAAACACGCATAAGCTCGTTAACCCACGCCGCCGACCCATCCGAGCTAGAGACCTTGATCATCAACGGCAGGCCAAAAAGTCGACACAGCCATAGATCAACTGAGAAGCTGAAAACCTGAAGATTGACAGATCACCCAATATATTCTCCATTCCAAGCGCCTCTTGCGCACTCACCTACCATACTGCTAGCATCTCGGTCCACACATTTGACCTTTGTGCTTAGTGGTATCAACTTCATGACTAAAAACTCCTTAAATCACATCTCAAACCAACATGTGGCGCAAATGCAGAATTTGGCCTACATAAATTCTGCATTTCATGGCAGTATCCAGGCCACAGGGTAAGCTGATTAAACCACGGCTATTTAACCCGGTAATGATAAAACCCTACGCAGCAGGTAGATATATTTTCTCTTCATTATTTGTGGAATTGAAGACATGATCTTCATAATCACCCATATAACGGATATGTATCATAATGATTCGACAAATCTATTGTACATAAATTTATTTTAAGGGGTGTAAAAATACAAAAGAGCTCTGGAACACTTGTGCGATCCAGTGTTATAATCCAGCTCCATTCAAATCGGCTTCCATGTAACGACAAACGGAGGATGTAACGGGTGGAATAGATCAAGAGAGCACGTAGATTCGTTCGCCCAGCGTCGTTAAGACCAAACGCCAACGAAGTCTAGATTAATAAAGTAGCAATGTTCGAAGCCGCCAGGTCAAATATTGTAGAGACGGCATTATTCATGGTATCAGGCCACTACCGGCATCAACGTCAACCCAATAAGGCTGTTCGTTGTTAAGGGGCCCCAGACTGTCACATTGGGATAGAATGAGTGTTTCAGCCTCGGTAAACATAATTGTTCCGAATATGAAAGGGAGTTCTGGCGGCGGGATGGGTTTAACCAGCCCTGGCTCTATTGCTCCACTACCCTTTCCAACCCACAGTATTACTAGCTGTCCACTCTGTCTATCCCAGGCAATTATATGCCCTGTACTCCTCCAGCTTTCCATAGGTTCCTCTGGAATATCACTATAATTGCTAGCGATGTTCGTCGTTGATGCTCGAACCCCAATATATCCCAATTGCATGAGAGGAACAGTCCCAAGACTTCGTACAGGCTTTCCATTCCCATCAACATGTACGCTAACAAGCCCCAGCGATGCCGGAGAGAGCGGTTGATCTATATTACGCTCCAAAGAAGGGCGATTGCCGGCAAATTCAAGCGGCGAGCAAGCAGGCAACCACGCATATTCGAGGTTTTCGATATTGTCGAATGGTTGCATTTGCAAGGGGACTTCAATTCCTTCATACTCATTCAATAGATCGGCAATTGCTGATAGACCACTCTGGGACCTAGAACAGCCATCCGTTTGCATTGCTGCCCATATCTGATGAATAAAACTGATACTGGAAGTAAAATTTGAGCGATCGCAGTTGGAAGCGGAGCCACTGTTAGCCGCGCTAGTATCCAAAGGCTGCCCCGTACTATGTGGATGGATGTGGCGGCTGACCCCCCCGTTAACCCAAGTAGCACCCAGTATAAATTCGAGAGAACTCAGGTCGCGCTGAAGCATAGTAGCAGTTGTTCGAGGAGCAACCACGGAGCGTAGAAGTCCTTGCGAATCGTGCTCTAAAAGGGTCTTCCAAGATTTGATCGGGAGATGTTCGTTCAAGTCGATATATTTTGAAGATTTCTGCGCAGCTAAAAGAGCACGGCCCGGGGTATCTAGCTTTAAGAAAGCTTTAATGGAAGCAATAGCTCCCTCAATAACCACCGCGTTTTGTCCAGCTTCAAGTTCACCTTCAATTTTATACCAGAGTTCAGAAACTATTTGCTTCCCCTTTAATTCGCCAAGTAATTGTATATATTTCGGTACCAGCTTGTTATCCCTGATATGAGAGATTCCCAACAGTGGATGGAGGGTCTCAGTGGTGGTCCGCTCATCTTCTAGTCCAGCAACCACTCTCAGCATTGCAGACCTGTCAATATTTGGATCCTCCCAAGAGCGACGTTCTAACCCGTTCAAAAGCGAAATTATTAGGTTGAAACCGATAGGCTGTGGTAATAAGCCGTATCCTCCTATGGAGTACTGTCGTACATAATGAGCTAACGAGTCTGGCGAAAAGCTCTCTGCTGCATAGCTCATACCCAAAAGGAGTAACTGGCTTGTATCCTTGACTCTTAGTCGTCTTAACCTTGCCAGAAGACCATTTACAGTCGCAAGTATATCCTCCCTCTCCACCCTGGTTTGACACTGGTTTAACGCATTTTGGAGCGGTTCAATCGAGCTTAGAAGCTTAATTCCGGCCTCTTTTGAGTTAATAAATGTTTCAATATCCGCTTGTAACCTGGACACTCCATCTCCTTTTGTGAAACCAGGAAGAGCAACATTCGTCGGTAAGGATTGTGATATGGTATCGATGGTCTTTGATCTTTTTGGTATCCAGCTGTTCTGGAACTGTGAAATTAAACGTTCATCGAGCTTCTTATCAAGCTTGTCACCGTTTCCACTGCATGTGGTGCCAGTGAGGGCAAAGCGAAGGAGCTGTGCTTGAGACGGTTGTGATTTAGTCTTTGCCGGCGAGCCTCGAGAATACCGCCGTAATGCGACAAATTGTGAAGATTTCAGCGGGATGCAGCGCTCTAGCCGGCAGCCATCAAGCGTCAAAGAGCGCATTGAGACAACAGTCAGTTCACTCCATGCGTTGTTTGCGGTGTATTTGATTTCTTATTTCCTTGTTGTTGATTCAAGAAGCAAAAACGGCACGAGAAAAATATATGGTGCTTACGTAATCAAAGATAAATACATTTTATCAACTTCATCTTCATCATCAACGGCGCCCTCAAACCCATGTCTAGGTCTGACACCGCCATAATCATAGGAGTACACGATAATGCCTACCGAAGCTGCCGATATGACGAAGCCTACTAATAGCACTACACCGTTACCTTTGGATCAAACCGAAAAGCCGCCGAAAGACGTTGAGCACGAGTCTTCGTCGCATAAGAAGTCTTCAGAATCAGAAACGGACAAACAGATAGAAGACAAGGAAGAAGATACAGATCCTGCATCGAAGAATCAAGATAGGCTTCAGAGGTTCAAGGCCCTCCAAGCGAGAGCAGTAAGTTAATCTCGATGTTGCGTCTTCCTTCTCGCTAGATGCTAACCAGGTTAACAGAAAACTGCTGTAAAAAGCAACTTGAAAGAGACTGCGGCAGAAGCACACCGTCTATCTGTCGACCCTAATGCTTTATCCTCCATCTCACGAAAACACGCGTTTGCGTCTCACAGCTTGCTTAAAGCAGATACAGAAGCCGCCGGTGAGGATTTCGAGCGGAAACGAGCATGGGACTGGACGGTTGAAGAATCAGAAAAGTGGGATAGGCGAATGGATAAGAAACAAAAACACCGAGAAAATGTCGCGTTCCAGGATTACCGTCAAGACGCGCACAAGAACTACAAAAGGCAGCTGCGGCGAATGCAGCCAGACTTGGAAGCCTATGAGAATGAGAAGGCAGCAGCAGTCCAGCGCGCAGCAGCAAATGGTGGACTTGAAATCGTTGAGGATGAGAATGGTGATATTGTTGCTATCGATAAAAATGGGACCTTTTACTCTACTGCTGATTCCACCGATTTCGTGGAGAATCGACCAGAAAGAGCAGCTATTGACAGGCTAGTAGCGGATATGCAGAAGGCTGAGGAGACCCGTCTAAGGAAGCGGAGAGAGCGTGGTCAGGGTGATGATGAAGCCGACGTCACCTACATCAACGACAAAAACAAGCGCTTCAACCAGAAATTGGCAAGATTTTACAACAAGGTATGTATCCGAGTTTATTGGATCTTGAAACAACTTACTAACAGCATATCTCTATAGTACACTGCCGAGATTCGTGACAGTTTTGAGAGAGGGACAATGATATAACCAAATCAAATAAGAGATGGAATCCGTGTTTTACAAACGCTAACGGGCTATCAGTCGATAATATACAGTGGGGGGAGCAGGGACCTGCAGTCTGTGATCGTTCACACATTGTGAACTGCTCTTTTCAGAGCATTGTTTTCCTCCAGCCCTTGGTTGCCAGGTCTTCAATCTTCTTCGGACTAACGACGCCTTTGACATCGCCATCATCAATTGATTCTACCACTGCCTCCCCGACAACACTAACTTTGAGGGGTTTTTCTGCCATCGACCCCAAAGCCGAGAGCTTTCCTCCCATCAGCAAATTAATTTCTGAAGCTATGATACCTCCCAGCGCTATGGGCAGGGATAAGCCGCGAGACGAGTCGTACATGAACGTTGGTCTCACAAATATACTCCGCAGATCCGGAAACATGGATAGAATGGAGGACTCGGCTTCCCTTTTGGACGCTATATAACCTTGTGGTATGATAGGAGCTCCAGAGGAAGCAGATATATAGACGAATGTTGGAATGTTTTCCTCAGACGTCTTCTTTGCTAGTGATATAGCTATTGAAACAAAGACCCATGCATTAGCTACTTCCATTGTTAGTTCTGGTTACATATTCTCACCTGATTCTGTATTCATTGTTCGATATGTCATTTGGCTCTTACTTGGCCCGGTCTGTATACCCGCAAAGGATCCAACTACTTTCCGTAACCCTGTAATAGGAGACTCCTTACCCTGCAATACCCCTTTGTAGTCGGCCTCTAGGATAATGCCCATAGAATGTACAACAGCGGACGCATTCTTGAGGTGTTGCCCGTACGAACTGGGGTCCAGAAGATCTGCCTTTGCCCATTCAACCTTCTGCGCCCATCTTGGGGCCTGGCCAGAAGGGCTAACGGTATCCCATGCCGGTTCACCATGACGGCTACAATATATATATCAATAAAGTTAAACCGGTTTATCGAAAGCTTCGGAGTTCAATGGCAACATTACAGGGAGAAGCGCACCTTAACGACACAACCTCCCACCCTCTAGCTACCGCCGATTGGCATATTCTCGCTCCTAGAGATAGATAATAGCTTATTAGATCCCCAGCTCCTTGTTATTACAGCTCCGGGAAATTGTTCATAAATTGGTTTTTATGCTCACCAAGAAACCCGCTCCCTCCTGCAACAACAATTCTATTAGCTGCAGCCGCTGCTGCCATTATGTAGAATCCGAGACTTCACCCAGATAACCTAATAACTAGGGAGAAAACCCGAGGCGCTTTCACGTTAATGAGCTGGCTTGCATCTGCTTTCTCGAAGCTCTCAAAACTAAACAACCCAAGAATTTGGAGCTTATCGTCTCACGTGATAGTGGTATCACCTGGATTATCTAATCACCATCTTTCTGCTCTAAGAGTTGAATATCAAAACGAAGCAGAGAACAACTCGCGACTATTTTCAAGCAAGCCCTCAAACCAATATTGAGTAAATATGCCAGCTCCTGTAGGGACAAAGCGTGTTCGAGTAAGGCTATCCGTGAACCTATTACAATGATTCAGCTCTAATGATTGCAACTCTAGGGAACTCAAATATTCCGACCGTTCGGTATGCTAATTTGCGCAAAAGATTTCATGAAAGAATGATCGATCCCGGGGTTGCTAACCTGAATCATCGTGCCCTTTAGTATTTGGCAGCGAAGCTTACCCCTTTGACCCGAACAAACGGCCCGAAGGCGCGGCAGAAGACCACACTCACCAGTGGCGCGTATTCGTCAGAGGCATAAATGGCGAAGACATATCCTACTGGCTTAAGAAAGTACAATTTAAACTACACGAAACTTATGCACAGTCTGTCCGAACAATAGAGGCGCCACCATTTGAGGTCACGGAAACAGGATGGGGAGAATTCGAAATCCAGATCAAGCTATATTTTGTGCCAGAGTCAATGGAGAAACCACAAACGTTGTGGCACGGCCTGAAACTGCATCCATACGGTCCAGATGCTGAAGGAAAGAAAGCTAGAAGAGAGACTGTTGTCAGTCAAAACTATGAGGAGGTGTTGTTTAATGAACCAGTCGAGCAATTCTATGATTTGCTTACTGGGGGGGCTGGCGTTGCGCCGCAGCAGGCAAAAGGAAAATCAACGAAGGGGAAACAGGCCCAGCTACAGTCAAATGCGGTGGGCGGAAGGACGGCTGAAATTCCTCACTCAGACAGCCCTAAGAATCCTTATAGCCAAAAGACCGAAGCAAAGGAACTTGACAGAATAATAGAAGCGACCAAAACAGTCGAAAAAATCCTAAAAGATGAAAAAGCAAAACTTATGGAGAGAGAGCGTGTGCTTGCTGGACTGAAGGAAACTGAAGGAACCAGCCTTCTCCAGAAGAAGAGATAGAGGGCTTTGCGGGATCTATATGTTCTTGTCCTTCCGGCAAGCAAGATCTTTATACTCGAAAACCATCCTGAGGCCACTCCTCCCACCGGTGACAAACTGCTCAAAGTAGCCATAAGGTGAATTTGAAGGATCTAAGATGAGAATTATGATTCTCACTTAGACTGTTGTTGGAAACCGAAGCTAACACTGGACCAAATGTTTTACCGGCCAGTCAGAGTTAGAAGGAGCGCGTCTCAATTTGTCCCTCGGAACACTATTCCCACCAGCTATCATTTCTACGGTAGAGGATTTGCCCTAAAATATTCTTACCAGGAGGCAAGCCACGGTAGGAAGAAAATAAAGCCATGGATCACTTAATATTAAACAACAGATCAAGTCTAGTGGAGGGCCAGGTAACAGTTACACCATGATCTGCCTGGTAGGAGATTGTATCATCCCTTACTTCTTATTTTAGATCCAAAATAACTGTATATTATATTATTCATCGAGGAGCACGACCTCTCTATCAAAGAGCCGATTATCCTGAGAATGTTCGGGTATACACCTTTGTTGTAAATTTGATATAAAGTAACACGACACCTAGCGCCCCGATAACCTTTCGAGGAACAACTAACGCCCTATATACATTCCACTGGTGCTAGTTCAGAAGCTCAAATTAGATGCCAACTACGGACAAGGGCCACAGTTGGAGAAGGATTCATCGTCACCATTAATTCTTGTTATAGTATTCTCTATAGACCTGTAGATTTCATGACTTTTGTGGTTTAAACAGTTCCGGCTTCATGTTGATTTTGCATAATTTGGCAATACATCCGCTGAGTTGGACTATGGTTTGGAGGCCCTCTAGGATTCGCATGTGGGTAAATCCGATTTCCTTAATGAACTCCAATTTCGAATGTTCGGAGAGATTAGGGATTGTTTTAGTAACTCGAAACATGGTCGATATGATATCATGGGCAGAGTATCCCAAGTCCCTAGGAGAAGCCATGTAAGTACGAATAGTTTGTGTAATAAAAAGGGTAAACGATACATACCATAACTCATTCAAAGTATCCAGGGCAATATCAACCTTCCCCTCCCAACATGCCTTGATCATCGCCTGCACTTTCACTGGATGGGGGCTATCTACAACCCTGAAAACGTTGTCACCGCTCACGAACCCAAATCCAGCCCACGTACTCTGCAGATTGTTAATTGCTTGACGCATATCACCTTCCGCACTGAACACGAGGGCTGCAATTCCATCATCAGAGTATTTAACCTTCTCTGCTTCACATATTTGCATCAATCGCTTCACCACCTGCGCATCTGTTAAGCGCGAGTATCTGAGAATTGCACAACGAGACTGTAAGGGCTCAATAATCTTATTAGACTGGTTGCAGGCAAATGCAAAGCGGGTTGTAGTAGAGAATATCTCCATCGTGCGTCGAAGAGCTTGTTGAGCGCCAGACGTCATACTGTCGGGGCAATGGAGGTTAGTTACCAGAGCCAAGGTAAATAGGTGACCTTTAATTCAAGTCAGTGGCTAGACACACCTATCTGCTTCATCGAGGATGACAAGTTTATGTCTACCAGGGGGTAATGTTACTTTCTTCTGCGCAAATCCTTTTATCCTGTTGCGGACAACGTCAATACCTGCACTTTAAGTTAATACTATGATTATCCAAGCATAGACGCAGAATAGGTTATCATACCTCTCTCATCACTAGCATTTAGCTCTAATACTGCCTCTTTATAGGTATCACCCAGCAATTGCCTTGCTAAACAGAGAATCGATGTTGTTTTCCCAATCCCTGGCATGCCAGAAATAATAACATGAGGCATGTTTCCATCACGGGCGATGATCTTTAACCGCTCTATTGTTTCCGTGTTGCCCACGACATCGTCTAGGAAAATTGGCCGATACTTCTCAACCCTATGGAAGACATTACCCAACAGTCAGCCATCCTATCGTTTCTATATAAATTTCCATCTTGCCCTTCCATCCGCGATCCCATTACTTCCATACCAGGGTAGTTCATAATTGACCGGAGCTCCGGAAACATCCGCACGAGGAATATTCTTGGAGGCCGCCGTGGATGATTCTGCGTACGCCATTTTGAGCCGTACGCGGTAACAATCCTTCATGTATAGCGTCCTGTCGTTGACTCTGTAGCATTTAGGATTTCAAGAGACGCGGATAAGTCGCGTTTAGCTTATCGCAGAACATCTTATCACCACGTGACCAATTGATTTCCAACGTTGCTTTAACGTTATATAAGCACACAGCCTTTTTCCGACCTTGGAGAAAGCTTTCATCCTCTCTTTGTTTTATCCAACTCCAACATGCAGATTGTATTTCTTGTAACTCCGAACAACTCTGAACAACTCCGATTTCTTCCTGTTTTGGTCTTGATAAACGCAGTCGAAAGATACGCGCACGTGGCGTCCCATGGTCCCAGCGCTAGTCTAAAATAGGAACTATTTCTCTACTCTGTTTCCTCTTCGGGCTACGGCCGATACGAGAGTAAACATCCAAGCTAACTTGATGCTTTACTATGTAATATGGAGAGAGTAGTATCCCGCGTGGTGTGTATATATACACATATATATAGCTGATGCCTCCTCCCCTGTTGTGGTTGTCTCTCGGTTTGGTTCTTTTGGTCTCAACCACTACGCTCATTTACTTCCATGTTGGAGGGTGTACAGGGGTCTCTCCAGGCTGGTTTAAGGCTTGCGCTGATACAATGTCGGGAATCAAATCGCCTCTTGCACTTCTTGTGCTGCTTGGAGCTCAGCAGGTGATGTCGGTGGATGTTTCATGGCATGCCCCTAATGCTACCAAGATCAATAACCTTGACAAGGTCTTGAGTAGTGACGGGGTATATGGTTTCATCTTCGATTCTTCGCAAACCCCAGATAAGGAATACGGGAAGTACAATTGGTGCAATATGCCGCATGTCCGCCCCAAAGAATACCCAAAGGCTCCAAAGGGCTATAAGCTGCAATATGTAGAAATTGTATGCAATCCATCCATGCAGGAAATACACGCTAATCGACGTTCTTATTGTACAGTTGCTAACTTATTTACTAGATACATCGACACCACAAACGTACACCTTATGAGTCCAACACATTTCCACAGGAAGCGTATCCTTGGCACTGTGATGATGAAGGCCTCTTTTACTACGGTGAACCAAAGCATGGCCGAGAGAGTACCAAATCCTACTGGAAGGGCTACCAGAACCCGATTAACCCGTTCCAGCCTTCAGGGTTTAAAGGATCATGCAGCTTTCCCCAGATCTCAAAAGAAGGTCTGGATGACTCGTGGCAGCACGGCCGTGATCTCTATGCAGTTTACCATAAACTCCTGCATTTCCTCCCGCTTGGGTTGGACCACGACAAAATTTCGTTCCGGGTAACGAATAATATGATTACTAGCCAGGTGGCTGGAATGCTTATCAATGGGATGTATGGTATTAGAGGAAATACCCCCCTTAATGTCGAGGTATGTAACGGCAACCCAATAAATATAGTTATTATCCCTAACCGGCCGCTTTTCAAGTCTCCCCAAACAGACTCTCTTGAGCCAAAGTATTCATGTCCAAAATCCAGTTCCCTTTTTTCAGAAGTAAAAGATGCCCCCAACACGCCCTGGGCTGATCATTTAACCCGCACAAAAGAATTTGTGGCCGAACTAGACGCCATCTCCGGGGTCTCTCCCTCCAACTCAGGATGGCATTCCAGCTTCGACCACTATTTTGATAATTTGTCGGCTCGTCTGTGTCACGCGAAGCCCTTGCCATGCAACATCAAAGACCCATCTAAATGTATCACTCGGGCACAGGCTGACAAGGTCTTTCGGTTGGGCCAATTCGAATATTCATACATGTACCGTGATGCAACAAGCTCCCTCCCAGCGAGCACATCTAGTTTGGGAGTCTGGATCGCAGAGCTAGCCCAGCATCTTCGTGATCAAATTGCTGGCAAAGATGGGAAGATGCTCTATAGACACAACGTCGCCCATGATGGAAGTGTGTCCAGGCTCCTGTCGGTCCTTCAACTAGACGTTATGGTTTGGCCTGGTATGGGCTCTGAGGTTGTGTTCGAACTCTACTCTAAGAACAAAGATGTATGGGGCCGTGAAAAGGACTACTTCGTACGTGTTTTATTTAGCGGCCAGGTCATGCGCAGCTCCAACCCCGACCTTGGCCTATTGGACATGGTTCCTGTTTCAACCTTGTTGGCTTATTTCGATGGACTTGTTGGTGAAAAGGCAAACCTGGTGCCTGGACTATGTGGCAACTAGTCATTTCCACACAACCTATGAAGTGCTTTGCCATGAGACATTCGCTCTTGATATCTTTCAACTTTGTGTGATGCGCTTACTAATGATATTTTTCTAGCCTAGATAGCTGCCATATTTTTTTTCGTCTTAATATGTACCTCGCATAATTTGGGGATAGCCGGCGAAATCTCTCGGCAATCGGCAAATCTGCCAATGCCATGTTCGCGAACTTCGGCATTAACATTCCATCAGCCGAGAATCAATGCATTGCTGTAATAGTATTCTTCCCATGTAAATCATCATTAAACTATCTAAATACCAGTAATATATATGTTATGTTCTAGTAACTCCATATTCCCAGACAAGGGCTACCGAGTATTATCATTGTTGCCCTTTGAACAGATTAGATAGCTAGCCGACTTGTTTCGTCTGATTAATTAGAAGTGGAGATGATGACGCTAATTTCAACGCTTCGCGCCGGGTAATGTAGGATTTCAGTCAGCTGGCCCTTCTAGTCATAGCTGTGGGTGATATATATAGATGGTATCCCAACATCCTCAATACCAAATTCTGGGCGAGAGATTTCGACAGCCATGCACACCGCAACCATGGAAACCACATTTTGTGACCGGGATGGCTTGCGCACGAAGTTTTCCAAAGCCATGTCAGATATGTACATGCAGGAAGTACCCTCGTATGCGGACCTGATCGATATTGTGACAGAGGTTAATACCAGAATTATATCTCAAGTTTCACCGAATACAAAATCAGAAAGTGATTTTCCTGATACTCAAAATATCTATAGGTTAACACTCGAGCGGCATGGAGCAATTCGACTTGGAACACCCTTTGAGCTTTCAACAATTCGGCGATTGTTCGCACAATTCGACATGTACCCCGTGGGTTACTATGACCTTAGTATTGCAGGGCTGCCCCTACATGCAACCGCATTCAGACCCATTGATGTTGAAGCACTGGAAAGAAACCCATTCCGAGTTTTCACAACATTGCTCAGGCCTGACTTACTAAGGAAAGAAGCTCGAGATTTGTCTAGAGAGATACTGGAGAAACGCAATATTTTCCCCCATCGACTCCTAGATCTCCTCGAGGACGCTGAAAGGAAAGGCGGTGTTGAGGTTGGTCTAGTGGACGATTTTATCAAGGAGACATTGGAGGTATTTCGATGGCATGAAACCGCCACAACAAGCTATGACGAATATTTGCAACTCAAGGAAGAGCATCCCCTTTTGGCGGACATTGCATCCTTCCGGAGTGCCCATATCAACCACCTCACGCCAAGGACACTTGATATTGATCAAGCACAAGAGGCCATGAGCTTACGCGGATTGAAGGTGAAGGAACGGATAGAAGGGCCTCCTCCTAGGAAGTATGCTATCCTCCTCAGACAAACAAGTTTCAAAGCCATCCATGAGAATGTGAGCTTCCGATCCCCCCGAAACGGGGTAGTGCAAGGTATCCACACAGCCAGATTCGGCGAGATAGAGCAAAGGGGCGCTGCGTTGACTTTCAAAGGTCGACAGTTGTACGATGAGCTTCTTATGGAGGTCAACGCTAAAGCGGGCAGCGTGAGAGCTGATGCAGCAGTTTATAATCAAGTGCTGAGAGATGAGTTTGCTGCATTTCCAGACGATAAGGATACTCTTCGTGAACAAGGTCTTATATTTTGTTCCTATAAGCCGACCGAAAAGGCCCTCGACCTGATATCGAATAACATAACAATGTTCCAAACATCGATTAGTGAGCTGCTTGATCAAGGTCTTGTCGATTTTGAGCCATTAACATATGAAGATTTCCTCCCTTTCTCTGCCGCCGGCATATTCAGATCAAATCTGGGCGAGGCTGGTAACGAGAATCCGAGTGTAAAGTCCGGACCAGATAAAAAGGGCTTTGAAGTGTGTCTGGGTAGCAAAACGCTTAATAGCATGGAGCTGTATTCGAAAGTCCAGCAGAGTAGCTTGGATTATTGCTCGCGTGTTTTGAAACTTGAGAATATCAGCTTGTAGATAGTATAATGAACAACAAAGTTGACCATTATATTTAGCAACCCACAGGGCTTGCGGTGTCGGTGTCGCTCACAGCATCATATATTAATGCCTTTCAAAAGCACTCCTTTCTGCTCAAGGGCTTTCGAGCGAGCGATATGTCAGATTAACGCTGCAATAAATCCAAGCTTTCCATTACAGTGATCGTTCATACTTTGGTTAACTAGATCCTAGAAGTCTATTGCCGGGTATTCACAATCTATAAGTTGATACCTCTGTGTCTTCTTGATAGTCATTCAATCATTATGATATGTCGATGTGAGCGGCTGAAGTTGGCATTTTCAGCCTCTTCTAAAGCAGCAATAGCTTATTTCCTTGTAAGGACACACAGCCAAAAGCGGCGTCGAATATCTCGACTTTCGCTCATATCGAGTCAACTTTTACGTAGATGTATTACTATTGAAATTAATCTCTAGCATCATACCTAGCTACCTATTCCTTCAAGTATATTCTTAGACCTCCAGAGACTATCTCCCTTCTTCCGCCCTTGGATTCCTATTGTTACACAAACATCGAAACCGCGCTCCTAGATTGTGTACGAGAAACATGCCTTCGCCATGACATCGCGACATCGACATAGACGTAATCCATCCGGGGGTAGCAATACCACGACACACACTACCGCATCCACAGCTTCTACGACGGTACAGGCACCAAATCCCACCAGGATGGGCTCCTCGCAGCCTCCGTCAGCGCCATCAGTGCGCAGGACACTTTTCAATCCTAGAACTAATCCAAGTCGGCGGCCAGCTTCCGCTACCCCAGCAGACAATGGATTGCCAACGGACATAACCACGGGCATGAGCGGAAATTCAAATCTTTTTGGGGGAAGCAAAATATCAAAATCAATACCCAAGATTGGACCGGATCTATCGTCACCTTTAGATAATGGTGATATTGTTGACCGCGACAAGAATGGATGCTATAAAGTGGACATTCCAATCCTACCGCCTGGACTGTTTGGGGAAGAGGTTGATGGTGGTGACTCGATGGAAGGTATAGAGCATTCTGGAGGTGTTGAGATGGTAGTTGAAGAAGGGGGAGAGCTCGGTGGGAGGGACAAAGAAAGTACGCTACATCCCTATTTGCATATTACACTCGACCTCAAGTGTATAAAATTTGAATGTGAAGGGGCCCACAGCTAACTGAATACATAGAAATTGATGCGAGCTTTGCTGAAATGATGCGCCATAACAGGAGTAGGCATGTCAATGGCGAACCCTCTGGTAAGTAGTGCTTCAGCATATCGATTTCCTTGAAAATGGTGGGATCATAATGGTGGGATCAGCTATGGCACAACAGACGGTCGTTCTTACGTGTAGCCATGTCGCAAGCTATATACTCAGGTAACGTGCTAACAGCCACTCCAGAGGTCTTCCTATTAGTTCAGCAGAACCTGAGGAATAGAGTATTAGGCCTCGATGAGGACAAATGGATGTTCGAAGCTGAGGAAGAAATCAAACTATAGACATCGGGTGCTAATTTGGTTCTACGGGAAAAAACCCCTAGCCTACGACATTACACCAATCCACCCGATTCACACCAAGAAAAGGCCAGGAATATCTATCATTTGTACCTAAAGGCCTAATCTAGGTCTAGTGATGGCGGAGCCTCTACCCTCTTGGAAGCCTTGGGTTGCTCACTAGACTTTGGCTGGCCCGACGGCCCTCCGAAAAACATTCCCATCATATCCATCAAGGGGTTTGACTGTTTCGGTATCTTTATGCCAAAGTACAGCTCTCCAATGTGGGCCAAAGCATGGTCCCATTCGCCAGCCTCCTTAATATGCGACTGGTATTGCTTAAGAAGCTGTCTGAATAAATCCGGAGTGCCACGTTGGATAGCAAGAAGGAGTAGGTTCGTGAAGTTAAGCAGTGGTAAAGACGGATATACACGGACGTCATTCTGCTGGCTGCTTACTTCCTGTACTCCGAGGGCTTTTCCTGACTCCGATGTGGATAGGAGTCGCGTAAATACCAAAAAGGCTTTATTCGCGTTAAGAATATTGCCGGTGAGGAGATATGGGAAGACAGCACGACAACAGTATATCCCGGCCGTATGCTGTGCATCATAAGTATACCAGTTATACTCTAGCTTTCCGAGAGTTTCAGCGGATTCGACGGTCCCGAAAGCAAGATGTCGCTCTGCGTCATAAGGTTCATTCTCTAATATTTGCCCTTGGTCAGATACCAAACCTGTAATTCAAACTTGGTAGCGGGTTATCCTACCTTGGGCATAGATCGACCCAATGGAATGGTGCAAATCGGGGTCACCTCGCTCAAGATCTCCAAATTTCGAGCTCCATGAAATGATCTCGTTTATATATCTCTTCCTGGTTGGTTCCTCTGGTGGAAACTCCTGGAGTAGTTCAATGAGCCGTTCTAAAGAGCTATCAGCATCAGTATAAATCTTTCCATGGCCATCCTTTATCGGATCAATAATAGAAGAAGAAACCAAGAGACCCTACGTTTTCTCTCCTTTCCAGTTTCATCATCGGCCACCTCCCACCCCGCCTTGTTGTAGACTTCAAGCACAAGCATGATTGCTAGGTCGCCACCACTGGCAGAGACACCCTGCTGGGCTCCAGCTTGTAGCAGCGCCTTCGCTCCCCCAGATAATATGTTTGCAGCTGCATCGTAATTGGACTGTTTAATGTATCGAGCTGCGATTACACGAAGCTGTTGGTGGGCTTCATAGTAAGCTCCAGAAGCAATTCTATAATGACAAGACAAGTTAGCGATGCCACAGAGAAATCCTGCTTTAGAAGGCAAAGGCCAAAACAATAGTAAGTCAAAGTCCCAGCCATACTTCTCTTGCTGACGGGCAATGGTCTTCTCAATTCGAGAGGTCATGGTGACCTCCCTCTGTGATGGCCGTTAGATGTGGGGTTAGCTTGAGAATGCCTCAGCGCAACCGGAAGTGTACGCCAAAGGATATAGTAGGAGGAAGGAGTAGCTATAGAGTCGGATGCTGCTTGTAGAATCAAGGATTAAAGAGACAACAGGAGACTTGTAAAGAACTAAGGGTAACGTTTTCTCTTTAGCTACTCTCGTCGTCATTTTTTATATGCGCAAAAAAAGTGGTCGCCAGCACAGCCAATAAGCACGTGTTTTTTGGAAGCTCCAGCTTGATGACAGATATAAATATTGATATAGTTTTTACATACTTGGACTGTCTGGACGAGCCAGCTAACTGTACAATACGATGGTTTCAGCGATGATTCCGATTCTTTCATATCTGTGGACATGACAGATATATTATTTCGACATATATAGCCTATCATAGCCACCACGACTCGTACGCTGAACGTTAAGCAGATAGGGGTTCTATGCATAGTAGAGGGAACTGTGATAGATGAGTATCTGTAGGGCCACATACTATATAACCTGTTATTATTTACTATCTCACACTAACTTGTCTGTAGTTATTCCAATATGGCTGCCATCTTTGAGATTCAGCCCATTGAAAGATTCAGTGGAATATCAGAGCCTCTAAAACGACCGAGGGTAGGATAATGTACATTATCTTATTACCATCACTTAAGCTAACTACAAACCTCATTTATTCCATTTCCAGGAAATCGCGTGTTTCTCTTACGATGAGTGGCATCGGTTTCGACTTGACGACTCAGGTCTTCGTTACTATTACCCCCCGAAACTACCGGTCGACCTTAAGGTCGGATTTGATACCTTTATCCAGCGTGATGAATCTGATGATAAACATCTTAATGCTCTTCTTGATACAATAATCGCAACAGAAAAGGAGAAGGAGAGGAAATACGATATGGACTTTGTTACGTGGAGAGGGATGATGACCAAGGTAAGCCCACAATGTTATGGATGATGATCAGACTGGCGGGTGCTAATAGGCTTTTTCTTATCTATATAAAGATATTCACTGCGCCTTATGATACTATGAATGGGTAATAGCACTCTAACACGTACAAAATATAAAATTTATATGGAATGCTAATCAACCCTCGCCGTTTCTCATTTAGATTTGAAATGAATGCTACCTGTTTTCAGGTGGGCTGAAAGACCTCCCTCTTCTCCCTCCCATGATCAAATACTTTGAATAATGTATGCTGACATCTTTGCCTGTTTCAAGGGCCAAATGTGAGACTCGACTAATCGAAAATCCTCACCGCCGTCACTAATTACCCCCTTTGAGATGATAGATTTATTGAAGAGTCTCACTCTTACCACCTTGAGCAGCTCAAAGAACAGTCAAACAGAAGAGTACGTCCAGGAGCGCACTCATCTGATATGATGTCCTACTGGGGTACGTAACCTTTCAAGTATGACCGTCACGTTCTCTCAACTCAGGTTTCGAGAATTAGGGTACAAGTTTGAAACCGTTTCCGTACTCTCAGAACCATGGGATGCCGTCTCTCGAGAAACCATCGAGGCTCGGGAAAACGAGGTTGTGAATAACAACCCCCAGTATTGTTCTCTTGCCCGCACTGGGATTGGAAATATAAGAATGCTTCTTGCCGGAGAGGTTGATGCAGGTATGTCACCCGTCCAGAACCTGTTTCCCTCCTTTATATGAAGGGAAAGTGTTCACATGGATATGAATACTTCAAAGTTTGGGACTGCAAGCCCGATAAAAAAGATGACCCAATCAATTGGGTAGAACTCAAGACATCAGCAACAATCCGTAATGCAAATGATGCTATGAACTTTGAGCGCAAGCTTCTTAAATTTTGGGTCCAGTCATTCCTCCTCGGAGTTCCAAAGATAATCGTTGGTCGTCGGGACCAGGATGGTCATCTCCTAGCAATTGAAGAGTATGCTACGGATGAAATTCCCAATATCCCTAAGAGGGGGGCACATACATGGGACGCAAACACTTGTATCAATTTTGCCTCCCAATTTCTGGCCTGTATGTGATGGAACCCAACACCTCTCCCTTTTGAGATAGACAACTAACATGGCCAATGTATCACTTAGGGCTGAAGGCTATCGTAAACTCAGACGGAGTATGGACAATTAGAAAAGCAGCTAAGTCTACCCATATTGAAGTATTTAAGGTCCAGGAATCGGGTCACGGAAAGATTCTCTCCCCAGAGTTCATCGAATGGAGGTCCAAAAATTAAGGATATGACAGCAGAGGAATGAGAACCGAGCCTGAGGCTCGCTATTTATTAGGGTAATGAATGCCTCTTAGCCCTCTATTGATTCGCCGCTGAATATATTACGATTCTGTAGAAGGTGCATTGTTGGACTCCTCCCGCAGTTTCCGGAAATATTCCTCTCGGCGTTGCTTATTTATAGCAGACTTTATCGCCCTCTTATGTCTTCTCCCGGTAATATGAGCAGACCAGGTATCCGTTCCGGTCATGGTAGTATTACACACGGGGCATAACCTCATCTGTGGAATATCGTCAACTTCAAAGGGTGCCGGCACATCGACGGATGCAAAGAATTCATTTGCGGCTTCCGAGGTATCTTTGGGGTGTGGGGGTGTGTTTCCAGAAAGGAATTTCGAGGTAATATCTTCGGCAGGTTGACGTACGACAGTATCCCATTCGTCCACGTTAGTTGAATCGACAATGTACAGACGATCCGTCATTCCAGCAGTGCCCAAGGCTTTCCACAATTTACGCTTAATCCATCTCGTTTGATGTTTGGCGTATACTTTTGTAGCAGACTGGATTGACTCAATGCATTCATCCTTCACTTTGTCAAGTTCAGAACTAGATTCCCCCTTCGATAAGAGCAACTCGTTGATGTAAGGCTCCAGCTCTTTAAATCCGATGGACATCCAGATTCCGCGAGTTCGATCGACCTCCACCCCTTCTGAAGTTTTATCTTGTAAATATTTAAACATTTTCTGAGCTTCCTGAAGTAAGCCTTGGTTTATCATCCCGTGAACACGCTTATCCAGTCTCTTTCTTAGTTCTTCTTTTTCGGTATATACCCAAAAGACAAGAAGGGGAAACCTTGCCTGTCCTAGCTGAGAGTCTGAGTCCTCCAATTCTTCTCCGTGGGGACCATCGTCCTGCGTCCCAACTTGTCTGATTTTCCTCTTCTGTTCTTCATATATCTCGGAGGCTGGCCGCCCAGTTTGTAAATAAATCTCTAGAGACCGACGAACCTTCCTCTTCTCTTTGGGATGCCATCGATTTGCCATTACAGGGTCGACCTCCTTTAGCTTCTGGTAGACCTCCTCTGGAGTAGCGTCGAGTATCGAAAAGTCCACCGCATTACTAGAATCTGTTGTTGAAATTTCATTATTTTGGAGTTGTTCCGACTGCTTCGAAGTTTCGTCGCCCGAGACCCCTTCGTCAAGTAAGGGCTCATGAAACAGGACAGACTGTGTATAATAATGGGTCCCGCCAACAAGTATGGGGACTTTTCCCCTTGACCTAATCTCGTCAATAATCTTCAGACTCTCCCTCTTGAATACACCAATTCTCCAGGGGTTCTGGTCCAGATCTACACATCCGATCAAGTGATGTGGGATCCCATGTCTCTCTTCAATGGGTATTTGGTTGGTGGTTATTGGAAGGCCCTTGTACATTTGCATAGCATCTGCATTGATGATCTCTCCATTGAATCGTACCGCAAGGTCAACCGCCAACTATGCCAATATTTAATACACATTCTCACTCTATGGTGTCGCCTGTTGTTACTCACTTTGGATTTTCCTGTCCCTGTAGCGCCAACCACAGCAATCAGAGGCTTCGTCGGAGGATTTGGAGATGCCATAAAAGATCGAAGGAAGCTTATCATAATTTATTTGCTAAGACTTTTTATATATGAAGCACTACACACAAAAACGTCCACTGTTGAATATGCTTGAAATGTTTGGAGGGAAAAGTTCGACTTGTAATTTTCTACATTGTATTGAGGCGTATAAATTACTCATTATCAAGTGAAACTGTTCATTTTTATTCGAACTACTGCGTATCATACGCGTATTAGGTGTCATCCAATTTGAATACATAGTAGATATCAAATTATCAAGGACGATGAAGAATTATCCGTCAAATATAAGACACCGATCACAACTCCCACCATCTGCCCAGCTTTTAGCTACTTTTAAGATGCATATAAACATCAAAGAAGCTCGACATGGATTGTTTGAAACAAAGTGATTATAAATCTCTTCACGTGTTTTGCATCTCGGCCGTTTGCAAGAAGTTTTCTTATTTGTATAGCTATATAGAGAGCTCGCTGGAAATATATATATATGCCCATTTCTCCTCTACTTCAAGCCTGTCTACTGTCATAGAGTATTAGTTGTTTATTGGGACGGCATTCACTCGCAAGCAGAGTTCCCGTTATTTCACCAAATTTGAAATATTCATCACAATGGCCTCGTCCAGCGCCACACCAGACACCAATATCAAGGTCGACGACCTCAACTATCAGTTTCCTGATGGCTCGAAAGGATTGTCGAATGTCTCTCTGGATCTCCCTCAGAATAGTCGGACACTTTTGATTGGCGGTAAAGCATACTCCATTCCATATTGTCGTTATATTGCCCCCCCCCACATGAACTGTTTTCCAAATATTTTTATTACCATTTCTAAAACTATTTCTGCTCTGTTCTTGCTTCTCTTTATCTAGCCAATGGTGCTGGTAAAAGTACGCTCCTCAGGCTCCTTTCGGGTAAACGTCTTGCGCCAAACGGTTCCATCGTCATTGGAGGGGTCGACCCGTTCAAAGAAGGCCTCGAAGGTGTGACATATCTCGGCACTGAATGGGTTCTCAACCCGATCGTTCGAACCGATATCGACGTGCCGACTTTACTCGGATCTGTGGGAGGAGATTACTATACGGAGAGAAGAGACGAGCTGGTTGAAATTCTCGATATTGATATGTCATGGCACATGCACTCTGTGTCTGATGGAGAGAGGCGGCGTGTGCAGCTTGCCATGGGCCTGTTGAGACCATGGAACCTACTCTTGCTAGATGAGATCACCGTGGACTTGGATTTGCTTAGCCGAAGCAACTTCTTGGATTTTTTGAAACGGGAGACCGAAAGGAGACCCTGCACTATCGTCTACGCAACCCATATCCTGGACAATCTGGCTCAATGGCCGACTCACCTGGTTCACATGCACATGGGCCAGGTACGGGACTGGGGTTCCATGGAGAAGTTTTATAGCAACCGTCCTCGCATGTCGGAGAACAGCCAGCTGGGCGAGTTGGTTCTCGAATGGTTAAGGAAGGACATGAAAGAGCGTGGGCCTCGCCCTGGTAGACCAGCAGAGGCTAAAGCGGAGACAAGGAATTAATGAGTAGGCATATGTCCTCACATCGATTGGTTATTGCTTGCAATTCGAGGAAGATTAAAATACCTCAACCCTTAACGGTGAGACGAATTTTCTTATTTCCTGCTATTAATGCCCTTGGGTGGTTGCATTTGAGCATACGTGCGGCCTCAACGCCATAGACTTTTATATCATTTCCTTTTTTACGCTTTTGGAATTATTGCCTCTAGAAGATTGTCTTTTCGCTATTGTAGATAATGTTCACTCTTTTGTACCGAGATGCCAGGGTGCCTATATCGGAAGGCTATCGACATTATATATACGAACTGAAGAATCCTCACTTGCAACTGCAAGCTGCTGGCATCCTGGTTTCCTGCCAGTGGCTGCAACATCCTCTCCATACACATCTACTAATCCGTTCACTGGCCTCCATGCTACTTGAGTAATGGATTTGGACGGGCATTCTGATATCGGGATCGTGATCATTGCCCCTGCCTCAAAGCTTTCTAGATGAATCCTGTAAATGAATAACTGGCCGGAATCATCTCCAACGGCGAGATAAAGCCCATCATGCGCTGTTATCGGGAGGAAGTCGATAGCAGTAACCGGATGGGAGAAGGAGATTGTAGTTTTAGCAATGAACGAAGCCCCCTCCTGAACCCATAGCTTGACGGACTTGTCACGACCACCCGTAGCAAACACTGTAGCAGTCGGATGGGGTGCCCAACTCGCACTCAATATCATCCTTGAGTGGCCTTTGGGGTTGGAGGTTACCATTTTAAATAGTAGCTTGTTGACCGAGTCTCGTTCGAAAACTGCCCACTGTCGATCACGTCCGACACTGAGAAGGTATCTATCACCAGCAGAAAACCGTAAAGAGGTTATTGTTAATGAGTGGGCTATCAACGGAGGTCTTATTTCGTTCCATGTTGAAGTGTCATATAGACGAATAACTGCATGATCGATGGAGCTAGCTTTACATGCGGTTGCGATGATAGATCGGTCGCGACTCGCAGTAACGGCTGATATTTCGTATCCATGGCCATACAGCTTTTCATGTTCTGGCCAGAGTGTATGTCTGGCTAGATGGTCCTCTAATGGTGGGTGGTCGATCTCCAAGTTGTACACCTCAGGTTGAGCTGCTTGTAGTTCTTTTTGCTCGCCAGCTTCGTTTGTTTCTTCGTCTCCTCCAACCTCCTCATCCATGGCTTTATTAGACAAGCCTAGTACAGGTATACTAGCGGCTTCGGGCATTTCTTCATCACTTGTAGGCTGAGCTAGCCCACTCAGCCGCGTGAGCAAGTTAGCAACCGCTTTCGTTTCATTAAAGACTCTTAGAAGCTTTTCATCAGCGCCGGAGACAAATCTAGACGGCCCCAGCAGCGCAAGGCAGTTCAGGTCATAACCATGTATTTGGGGCCGTGAAAATTCATGCCACGAGTGATGGTTGCCCTTCTTCCACTCAGCATACAGCCTCGTCGTTTGGTCTCCGCTAGTAGATAGAAGATACCCGCCGCTAGATTCCCAGGCAACATCTCCAACGCCTCTAACATGCCCTGTAATCCCTGGTATGGGGAGCCATGCATCCGCGGCAGCATCATGTCTCCATGACCTCCAACTCCCTGTCCTGCCTAAACAGACAACTACATTCCCCGATGGAGACCAAAGGCTAATCCAGAAACCACCAGCACTGCCGGTAGCGGTGGTGGAGCCCTTCAAGGAGCTAATTTCTCCCATTCTTGATAGTGAAAACCAGATGCCAGTTATAGGGTCTTGCTCCCAGATAACTAGGGAGTTATCAGCAGAAGCAGATAGAAGTTGTGGGCGGAAGGGATTTGGGTTCCATGCTACGGTATAAACCCAGTCTTCATGACCAAGAAGAAGAGCTTCAAATGTGATTGAATATTTGGCACCATGCATATCAAAACGGTGAGCCTTTGGAGTCAATGTCGCCTGCTCCATTCCAGCCAACAATTGGTCTTCCACGTTCTTTGGCGTAGCCGAAGCAGTGCCTTCTCCAGGGTTCACTTTCCAAAGGCGAATATACTTATCCTGACTGCATGAGGCAAGTAGAAAGTCTCGTGGTGTGGTGGGTTCCCCTTCGCCGTGCACACTATCACTTTCAGGTGAAAATGCAAGGGATCGTATCCAGCTCTCGTGCCCTATTAAAGTGGTGCTAAGCTCGAATTTGAGATCATTGGTGTCCTGCGCAGAATATATCTGAATTGAGGACCGGGTTCCCCCGACTGCTAGTACCATTCCACCCAATTTGTCCCCAGCGTCCAGGCTGGGTATGAACTTCAGTGCCATTGCAAGAGGAAAATACCGAGGTTTCAACGAAATGCTCTGTAATAACTGGCATTTTACAGCGTCGCTTTCTTCAATTATTCTCCATGCTTTGACGGTCCCATCTGCGGCTCCAGAAACGAAAATATTCGATTTACTTGCGACCTCAATACAATTGAGGGAGCCTCCATGTTGTCCTTCCACGACCGCCACCTGTGAAAAATTAGGCGGACTTGAAGAATCTGATTTCCATATTCGTATAGCGTGATCACTACCACCTGTAATAAGTAGTATCGGTCCGGTGGTGGAAGATGTGTAAAATTTGACAGCGTTTACTTTGTCCGTATGGCCCACGAGAAGCGTATATACGCCTCTGTCGTTTTTGTCCTAGAAATCAAGCCATACATGTTAGTTCTCAGGCAGTCACCATTTAAAGAAACAGTAATTAAACACTTACTGAAGGGTTCCAAATAGCAACATTATTATTCGCACCAAAGGCTAGTAAGCCAGACTGATGGTGCCAGTCTGCTGCTGCGGGATTCCTGTTGCCCCCGACGCTGATGAAATCCGTTGTAACTGATACCATGAATGGCAATTTTATCTAAAGAACCCTTTATATGATTAAGAGGCCCTTTCCTGCTCCGTAGCTTGGGGGTTTATTGAAGTAGTTATTATCCTGATCAGTTTGCCAACCAGAGTCGTTAAGGTTTGATAAACTTGGGTGAAAAAAGCCCCATCTTATCGATAAGAGATTTTCCCTCCCCGCCGTAATTACACGGCATGGACATGACAACAACTTGCATTTGAAGCGTGTTGATACACTTAAGCATATTGATTATATTTTCTAGTCCATAATTATGGGCTCAGTTCCGGCTGATACTGTCAGCCATGCCAAAGGCGAAGATACTCTCGATATCACAGTAGAATTTACGTTGGTCTTCCCTAAACGAATCCCACCCCCCCCGATGTTGATATAAATATTAATTAAATACCATGAACCTATGAAACTGCTTTAGTGGTGGCCTTGAGATGCTATTTTCAAATGAAAGAACTCATAGAATTGCGTTACCATCCCGGGACCCGAGCGGAGCGGCAACGAATATCAGCTACCTGGTGAAATACTTGATCGAGAATGTAATGAAGGACCAAAGAAAGGAGCTCTTCGTTATTGATGATCATGTGTTAGTATATCTTTCTGTTGCTGTCACTGATAGCATGATAATTTGGCTAACTTCTCCTAAACCGTGATTTAGGCGACCTGGAATATTGGTGTTAATCAACGATGCCGATTGGGAATTGGAGGGAGAGGGTGCCTATGAAATTTCAAATGGAGACAACATTCTATTCGTATCTACCCTCCATGGAGGATAGTGGTCGGTATGAAAAGATTGATTTAATAAGAGCATAAGAGCAGTTTCGACAGTAGGAAAGATCAGACGCTAAGAGGAAGAGACGAAAATCACATCATTAACTCATACATGATCTGATACGTCAACGGAGGAGGAATAACAACGAGACCCTCAAACGACATCTTCAGCATGATGCTGGGAAATCTTTTCTGGATGCTTGAGTGTCCTAAATCCGAGTTGCGGGGTTGGACCTCCTTCGAATGAAGAGCCATCCAACCCACCACCAGGCATTGGTGAAACGATACCACTCTGTGGCACGGGAATTTTAATGTCCTCTGGTGACCCTGGAACAATCTCTGGTGGAAGGTCTGGGATATGTATGCGCTTTGCCCGGTTATTATAGCTGGCAGGGATTATCTATAGAGTTATTAGCGATATATGAATGTGCAAACAGTTACCTAAAGCAGTGCATGACTTTACCTCAATTATCTGGTCTCGTGGGAAGGACAAAAAAGGGATGTCGGTCGAGTTACACGCCATCAAATAACCATATAGCACCCTTAAAACGCTTTCATGTGCGATAATAAGAAGGTCATTTTGCTCGCGCTCTAGCTCAAGGATTACAGGCTCAAGCCGCACGGCCAAGTCATGATAAGACTATATTTGTGTCAGTATCAATAGCCGATACACAGCCTGGCGCCATCTACCACTTACCTCAGCTCTGGGGTATCTATGATGATATGGATCTAAGTCATGCATTTCAACTTCATCAGGATATTCTTTTCTGATCTGTTCTTCAGACATTTTTTCGCAAACCCCAGGGTTCAACTGGCTCATCTGAGAACGATGCCGGACTCTATATCCCTGTAACCGAAGGAATTGTGCAGTCTCTACAGATCTGCGCCGGGTTGAGGACCAAATAATAAGTGGTCTGAGTTGCGGATCGGGCTCACCCTGTTCTAGTAGAATTTTTCTTTCCTCCTCCCGATGTTTAATAAGTGTATCAGTCATCTTGCGGGCATAATCTTCCCCCGTAGACGAAAGCGAGGAGTCTGCCTTATATGAGTCTGATACCATGGATGTACCGGCCTATTAAAATTATAAGTATATGAGGGATAATATTGACTATTGAATTACATACCCTGACGAAGTAGGTGCGCCTATTTTTGATATGGAGGTTCAAGAGGTAGAACACAATTCGATGGTGGAGGTAACCAAACCCGCGATTGTTTATCATCATCTTCTCACCAGCGTTAAACATCTATCGATATGTCAGTTTTTTCTCCGGATCCATACAGATACCACCTCTATATACCTTAATATAGTTTAGTTCTTGTTCCTGCATCGTTTCAAAGAGTGGAATCCTGGCAGAAATTCGAGCTAAATAATCTTTTACAGCCACTTGAGAATCCCATCCCACATACTATAATCCCAGAAGATGAGTATTAAATAAATGACTCGATATAGAGGGTAGAAAGATGGTTTCATACATCTGGAGATGAGATCTTCACTCGTCGTACGTTCTCTTCGATTATACGCTCATCGCTGCACGATGATTCAATAAATAAAGTCTACATGGTCAGCTCTCTGCCCACAATTTATGAATCCTGTTCATACCTCAATATCTTGTTTCGCAAACTCTCTTGAGAGAGATATTCTTCCAGCAGCAAGGGGGTTAACAGCATCATATATGGCAATTTGTCCATTTTCATGGTTCAAAAACCGATATATATCCTCACGGCATCTCTTAACAATCTTCTGTCGAAGAAGGACGGATGACGCAGATGCTATTTAAAAAATTAGCTTTATACCTAGACATTGAGGATAGAGACCGCTCACCATTTGCAAAGAAATAGTCCTCTGGCAGCTCAGCACCTACGCCAACCGTAGCTCGTCTATAGTCCCCAAGATGGAAAATACGGGTTTTCACTCCTAGCCTATATCCATTTGTAAGCGGAGAACACATGTTATTGACATTTGGGTATACGTACCATCTAAGATATCTAGCAAGAGCTACAGATATATGCCTACAAAATGAAAATTTTTAGCAAAACAAATGATAAAATAGTGGTTGCAGGGTTTCTGACGTTTTACCCCGGGCTGGCAACCCAACCGTGATAATGACAATCCGTCCAGAATGGAAGAGACGGCCGGATTCGGTACTATAAAGTTGAGCTGGAGCTAAAGCTGGCATTTCCGGCATGTCATGAATAGCATCAACAAAGGTTGACGACTTCCGTCGAAAACGAGGTGCACTCGCGACGACATCGGCGGTTCTATATATATAGTGAGCTATGTGCCTCCCAAAGCCTTGTCTGCTTACAACTTCATATATCATTGTATGCGTGCGGCCAGAAAACATACAGTAGGGTATCCATAGTGGCAACCACACAGTTATATTGTGTGTTTAATGGGCTCAGACAGGCCCAATCCAAGTATTCAAGGCTCTATCCTCCTGTTACTGACGTTGGTATCAAGTGAGCAGCTTGTTACAAGGCGGGTCGGCTAAGAAACATGTGGGGAATCCAAGTAATGTCGAGGAAGACTGGTATCCCGCAACACAGTAAGTACGCAAATATAAAACAACTCTTCTAAGCAAGGGAACAAGATCAGAAACCCTCCAGAACCCGTAGTTATAGAGAAATAAGCATAACATTCAACTGAGGTTGCAAGTTGCAAGTTCAACATGAAGACGAAGTTCAAGAAGATGAATGCCCAAATAAGCTTAGCGCGCATCCAGGTCTTGGCGGACTTGGACGCAGAAAAAGAAGTTTCAAAGCAAAAACCACATTTTTTCATCTGCAACGCTTTCAAACGCTGGAGCGAGCTTTGCAACGAAGCCCGATTGCCAATTGTCATTCGACAAGCTCGACAGGCTGTGACGAACGTCTCTCGTTCAGAGTTGCATTTTTCTTTATTTGATTTGAAAACGATCTCTTTTCCGTTTCGCTCAACAACTGATTTCTCTACCGCGTTCTCAATCATCTCTTAAGTCACCATGGCCGACTTCGCCTCTGCCCTTTCTTTTTTGACCGATAACCCTGCTGCGGCAGCTATACAAGATTCATACGATGCATTTGCACGGAGGAGAGCAGACCTTGGGCTGTCGAATCCTGGAACCGTCGAGATGGTTGCTCGCGAGGTCCAGAAGGATGTCCTGCTTTCCAATTTCATGTTCACAGGCCTCCGTGCCGATTTGACCAAGGTCTTTGGAGTTTCGCCTCTTTTCCGAGTCTCTCATGCATTTACTATGGGTTCTCAAGGAAACCTACCTCCATATGCATTTTCTACCATGTTTGGTACCTCAGATGTAAGCCATCCTTTAGAGTGACCTATACCTATTTTTTGCAGTAGCACTCAAGCTAATATATTAATTAACCCGTAGGTCCTTATGCAAGGTAACATTGGTAGTGACGGAGCCCTAGCCGCAGTTGCCAATTATCGTTGGAGCCCATCTTTGGTCAGTAAAGCCAATGTCCAGATAATGCCTGGTTCTTCTCAGGGACTCCTGCAGCTCGATAACGACTATACGGGAGCCGACTTTTCGGCATCCCTCAAGGCCTTTAACCCGTCAATTCTGGAGGGTGGCCTTACCGGCATCTTCATTGGAAGCTACCTGCAGTCTATCACTCCTGGTTTGGCTTTGGGCTTGGAGGCCATGTGGCAGCGTGCTGGACTTAGTGCTCGACCAGAGACTGCCTTGTCATACTGCGCACGATATAAGGCAGACGACTGGATTGCTAGTGCCCAGTTACAGGCCCAGGGAACAATCAATGCCTCATTCTGGAAGAAGCTTTCGGATAAGGTCGAAGCTGGTGTGGATATGAACCTTCAATTCGCACCAAGCGGCAACCCAATGATGGGAGGTATGCAGAGAGAAGGAACCACGGCTGTTGGAGCCAAGTATGAGTTCAGGGCATCTACCTTTAGAGCCCAAGTTGACAGCGCCGGAAAACTGAGCTGTCTCTTGGAAAAGAGAGTTGCAATGCCAATTTCTCTCACCTTTGCTGGTGAAATAGACCAAGTCAAGGCAAGTGATATTTCTCAAGTAAAGAAAATTGATGATTTATTGGTAACTAACATTTTATTGATTATATAGCAAACTGCCAAAATTGGTCTTGCAGTCTCCTTTGAGATGGCATCAGAGGAACTGATGGAACAACAGGAGTCTGGAGAGCTGGCTAGCGTCTCTCCACCTTTCTAAACATAAAGCTTGAAGAACTCTATCCCTCATTCTTGCCTCACACCTCCTTACCAACCAGCAATTCATGACCATATATCCCATATATCCTTTATAATATCTGCACCATGACAGCGTCTATTCCTTGTTGTACTAATTCCACAGGGTTTTATTCAGGCTCTCCGGTTGCACCTGTCTCTATGAACTCTCGAAGACCCTTTTCCTTTCAATCCCATGCATAAACGTTCAGGCAGTTGTATTAGGTGTACGGAACTTCATCTTGTATAGATCTCTTCGCCTCCCCCCACTTTTTTCTTTTTGTTCTTTTACTCTCCTGTCTTAACAAGCCGCTTTTATCCTGTTACTGTTTTAATGGTAACTCTTATTTTTATTCCCGAAGAATCATATCATGTTTTTCCTACCCTAGTGCTACCTTGCCGCTTGTGTTTTGTGGACGGATAATGGGATATGAGATTCGAGTCAGATGGGAAAAGGATTGTGACATGATTAGGCTGTGTGTGTTTTTTTATACTGTTTTATCCCTTTATCCTTCTGTTGGGGTTGTTTTGTCAAAACTTAGAGGGAAGGAATGTAAAATAACATGACTTGATTTTTGTCTGTTTGTTTCTTCTATTTGAAGTGCCAGAGTGAATTGAGGTTCAGATGTATATTATACTACTGCACTATTATTTTCGTGGGACTCGGGCTTCTATCCAGCCGACCTAATCGACACGGCCTGTTAGCCATCTCCAGTCGAAACTTAGAAAATTAGACCATCTTCGACACTGGGGACTATCATGCAGGGTAGAGTGACCATTCCCTGGTATCGAATGCAAACTTCGGGTTACAGGTGATGGTCAACATCTGAGGATCAAAGCTGCTTGGCTAACTCAAGAAATAGCTCACACACGCACACACTCTCTTCGTTCCCAATCTATACATTCCATGGTGTATATCTCGACGTGGCCATGCAATGTACGTGGCTTCCAGAGAGAGGAGCCATCGAAGTAGTATATCAACCATGGGATATATGCGAATGACGCTATACGTTCTTCCCTTCCTGCAGAGATAAGGGCGGGGGGGAAAGGCAATGAACACGGAAGAGAATGTACTCCATTTAAGACAACCAGATGAAATCAGCAGCTCACCCGATCTATACAATCATGCATGCATATACCCTATATCAAGCACAAGTAATTGCATTAGAGGCTACAGGGGACAGGGAAGAAGCCTGACAGCTCGGTACGATCATCTGACACGTCTCGAGCTTCCTTGGAGTAATTAATATTGATTTACATTGCATCATCATCTTCAAGGCTTGGCCATATATTCGGGAAGAAATGGTACGACTTGGTACTTCGTTTATCAACATATATAGTATACACTTACATTTACGGAGTATAGTAATGAGTAAGGAGGCTCAAACAGGCCCACTACTATAATCTAATTTAGTGTGGATAACAACTTAATATTCCGGTAAGATGGCCGAGTGGTTTAAGGCGGCAGATTTAAGCTCTGCTGAGGGAGACCTCTCGTGGGTTCGAATCCCACTCTTATCAACATCTTTTTTTTTCCCTCTCTTTTCTATCTGTGTGTCTGCGACACGGTGAGGAGCGGTTCTGCATGATCGACTCTCTCGTTCTCCTTGTAACTCGTACAAGTTGATCCACGGAACCCAGCTCGTGGTAAGTAAGGCTAGCATGCAAAAAAGCAATGCCATAGCCAGCAAAAGAGAGAAAAGAAAAAGAAAAAAGGAATTGACTTTTTCTTTATCTCTCTCGCTTCTTTGCAAAAATAAAGCGAACGAGAGACGAGAACTAGTCGTTGTTAAGTTATGCTGTGAAGTGTTTCGGAAGATGACGAGCGCAGAAGAAACGGGATGCAGAGCATACATCAGCATAACATCATATATATGCTTATGCAAATGAACATCGCTCTCGAAAAGCCTATCCAACTCTTGCAATTGTCTCCTCCGCCTAACTTTCCCCCTTCCTCTCTTTCTATCCGTTCGTCCGTTTCGGTGTTATAAACCGGTGGATATGTGTAGAAGAAGGTACAGATGGAGAACAAGGTTAGATTTAATATTAGACACAAAAAGACAAAAGGGAAAAAAGTCCCCATCTCTGAAGCTATCGGCGTATGTGTCTTAACTTGTAGCGCCTGCCGCTAGTTCGAAGTCGTTAGCTTCAATCCTGGCTTAATTCGATGTGTTTAAATCGATCACCTGGACAAGCCAGACGCCGAAGCGAGTGAGAGCAATGCAGTTCGAGAGACAAGTCGAGACCTTCCAACAAGTACACATTAATAATAATTCCGTCAATGGTCTTTTTTCGTGAAAGACGACAAAAAAAAAAAAAGGCGCTCTCTCGCTTGTTTTCTCCACTTGTGCCTGTCTGTCGTCTGTGCCTGCGCAGTGCAGTAGTTTGGTACTGGTCGGGTTGGGCCAGTGGCCACACACGCGGGATTGATTGCTGCAGGCAGGCAGTTAGGACGGGTAGGTATATATATGTGCTGTGGCGTGGAAGTCGATAGGTCCCGACAGATAGATCGTATTAACCCGACAGACAGGCTCGGGGAAGTTTCATGGCCTGGGATAGAGATGTTTTTCTGTGTATGGATGCTAGGCCGAGGAGCATGCACCAATAGGACATCAGAGCTAGCTCGCGGCTTCGTAAGGCTGGGCTAAGGGTGAAGGATGATATCGTCATCTGGTCATTGGGCTTGATAAGGTAAGGTACGTTCCATACGTAAATAGTGTAGGTACGTACTACTATGATGTAGCTAGTAAAGAGGCGAAGGGATGTCGCTGTGTCTGAGATGCTGGCTGAGTGCGTGCATGTGGCGTGTCCGGAGGATTGGCAATATACTCGTGTATGTGCGCATCACATCTATGTAACGCCTTTCTGTAGTTATGCCGCCATCTGTGCCCATCTCTTTATTTCTTTTCTGTTTCCATCCCTTCTCTGCATATCCTCGCCTGGAGATACTGTTTTGCGCGTATACTATGTGCGGTGAAGGTAGCACTGGGGAGAGGGGCGATCTACGTTACAAAAAGGAAAAAAGCAGGAGATCGTGGCTTTAAGTCTTGTATATGTACTCCGTATGTAGTCCTACTATGATATATATCAGTATTGCAAGTACGATAGATGCTAAGATCGATGCTGCAGCTGAAGATATCCTTGATTTGCTGTGTGCCTGAAACAGAGATCCTGGCCAGCTAAGCTCGAATTAGCCATTGTACCTTGTCGGGAGCTCGACTAGGTACACTGTAGTATATTATATATAGCTTGAGAAGAGGTAAACCTGGGTGGTGTGTGTGGCAGTTGGTTGATGTTAGAAGGGAGAAAAAGAGTGAAAGTTACACGGCCCGGCCAACGCAACGGCCGTCGAGAGGAACGGACGTACACGGCCGTGTTACACGTTCCTTGGCCCTTGGCCTTCTCATTTATGAAGTGCATATACGGAGTATATATTCCACAGAAGACTTCTCCTAGTTCCGCGAAGTATGGTATAGGATGGCACAGACGTGATAAATGCAGGGTTATCAGGGAACTGGAAAGACGGTCCGCATCGAACTGTTCGTGGAGGACCCCTACCATAAGGGGTCTGAGATGCCGTCGACATAGCATGGCCAAGTCAAACATGTCAGGATGTGTATACATACATAGTACATAGTATATGCATGTCATCTGGCTACATGAGTTTTCCGTTTCCCGTTTCCCGTTTCCCGCACAACATATATAAGAGTTGCAGGGAGGTAAAGAACGGAAGAAAAAAAAAAGACCGGCACCAAAGACCAGGCTGGCAAGGGCCTCCGTCTTTCCTGGGTTGTTCTCAGGCCTTGGTCTCCCAGGGGGGCAGTACATAGTAAGTAACAAAAAGGAGGTCATAGAAGTTGGCGCGCATAGACGCAGTCATACAAACTAATTATTCCTTCCCGCAATCGAAGGGGGGTGTGGGATGACGAGGGTTGATCTAGGCCGATCGGACGCCACGGCCTCAAACGTCTACTCTGTGCGTATATAATGTGTGCCTATCTGATGTGCTGTGCTAAAATGATGAGAGGGGTGGAAGTCAATTGCAGCACACACGCAAGGCACGCAGGCACGGCGGGACTCGAGACGAACAGGGAGAGGCCCAGCGTGAGAGAGTCCGACGAGAAATATACATAGCATATGACTTCATCTTCTCAACCGCCAAGAGGCCGCTAAATCGACCTTTATGTGGACATTTTTGGTATTAATAATACGGCCATCAGGACTGGTGAAGGTTCAAAGGACAGCTTCCCTTCGGTGGCCGTATGAACATCAGATATTCAGGTGGTTCCATCCGGCATCCAACAAGCAACCTGCCCGACCGTTAACCTGTCCCGTGGTGGCCACACAAGGGAAAGAGGCAATCCATCAAGGGAAGCAGAAGAAGCTCCAAAGCAAGTTGAAGATAGAAGTATATACGGGCTTGGGTACAGACAAGCCCCAGTGGATACGCGATCCTGTGACTTCCGACAGCTTATCCTGGCTCCAGGTGAAAATTGCAATTGGTCACCCGACAACGCAGCACCAGCACACGATATATAATATGGGTAAGTAAATAGTTGAATAACCCTCCCCCCCCATTGCAGGAACAAGTTGATTCACTATCACCATCATAACTCTTTTTTTCTTTTCTTTTCTTTTCCTTTCCGTTATCGTGGCGCGAGGATTATGATGGGATTAAGGGGAACAGGGATCAAAGCCCAATTGACCATGGCCGCATGTAGGTACGGGGGTCTTCTTCTTTTTTTACCCTCCTTTCCCTTTTTTTTCTCCCTGCCGCAACCTAAGTACAGGATCATCCCGTTAGCAAGGAGAAGCCAAAGAAGAAGCAAAAGAGACCTCTCTCTCTTGGATATAGTTATACTTCCTCTTGTAGGTTAAAAAAGAGGCATCCGAAGACCAGTACCAGTATTTCCACTTATACCCACGCCAGGATCTTCCCTCAAGCTTCTCTCGTGACTACTTTCGAAGCAGTTATAGACGGTCATG